TCAACTTTCAGAACGAGTATATACAAACAATAAAACACACAGACAGACTAAAAAGGTTGCCTAAATAATTGCACATACATGCCCAGATAGGGTCCGCAGCTGCAGTAGAAATGTCCACACTGGCTGAAACTGTCTGCACATCTGTTTTTATGCACATTTTCAATTTTCACATATAAAACAGCTGGATGGAAACGCAGAAAATTTTGGGTAAAAATTCAAAATATTGCAGAAAAGAAGGAAACGTTTACGAATCGATCAAAGCAAAATGCGACTAAGTGCAGTGGAAACAGATCTAGAGAACAAGAATGAAGCAGTGACTTAAACGTCCACTGAAGAGACAAAGACTTAAAATAAATATTAGAGAAAACAGATTTGTGTATCAGAACTTAGTTTTTTCTTTCCTCTGCCATCAATCATCCTCAGATTTATCTTGTGACCATTTAGAGGGGCCCGACCCCTAGATTGGGAGTTTAACTACTTTATAACTACAGTATATAAAGTAGTTAAAGCAGCAGCTACATCAGAAAAAAGCTGCTCTTACATTGATGCAACAGCTTTAACAATCTAATATGTAATGTATAATAATTTATCAGTTACTTGTTAAGCAGTATTTTTACTGCAGGACTTTAACTAAAGTTAAGGGTGTAAGTATTTAGTCCACCTCTCTCACTAGAGCACCAAATGTAGATTAATCCACTGCTGAAAATAGTCCCCAACAACAATAGTCCTCCTGTTTGTTAAAAACTACAAAATGAAACTGTATATTTGGGCTCTGACAGCATCTCACTGTTTGACTGAGGGGATCAAACAGTGATGTTGTGATTGCAGGACAGACTGCCCCCTGCTGGTCTGTCCTGCACAACACTGCACTGACAGCTGAGGTTTATTTGTAGGAGCTGGACCCGACGGTGTGGAGGAGATCAAGAGGCATCACTTCTTCAGCACCATCGACTGGAATGTCAGTGTCTTTATTCGATAAACTTTATCACTTCATTAGTTGTGGTTTACTGTCTCTGACCGTGCGTCTCTGCCTCTGCTAGAGTTTTCTAACGTCCCCTCTTCCCTGTAGAAACTGTTCCGCAGAGAGCTCCACCCTCCCTTCAAACCGGCTGCAGGACGACCCGATGACACTTTCTACTTTGATCCAGAGTTCACAGCTAAAACACCCAGAGGTACGCTCCACCTCACCTCCACACACCGCTGAGCTGAGCTACACTGAGAATAAAATGAGATTTTGTTGAGCAGTAAGGATCAACAACTGTTTCTCTGTGTGTTCCCAGACTCTCCTGGCGTTCCTCCCAGCGCCAACGCCCACCAGCTGTTCAGAGGTTTCAGTTTTGTGGCCATAACGGAAGAGGAAACGCAACCACTACCCAGCACTATTGTTCAGGTACACACGCACATTCACACTTTCACTCGGAGTAAAAAATAATCTCAGCTATAGAGCGAACCCTCAGTGGGCAGAACGCAAGTCATCATACAAAACATTTAGTGAAGCCTTTTGTATCTGCATAAATTGTTTGTGCATAATTAGTACGATAATTAATGCATGTTATTCCTGCCTTTTATTATGTTGCAGATCACCACACATCAGTTCATAGATATTGATCCGAACTAAGTTTATTACAGAGTGTCCCACATTAAATGTATGTGCTAGTTAATAAAGCACCATTTGAGGACTTCTTTCTCCAGTTCTTACCGGACTGTCCGTGGCAAATTCAGTTAAGAAACTACAATCAGGGATTGTTCCTAAATAGGAGGTCTTAATCTTGGGCTCACGCAACCAACACCTTCTCCATCACAGACTAAATATAAACAACGTGTACCTTAAAGTGCCGAGGAGTATAAAGAAATGTGCTTCTTTTGATTTCAATCAGTGTTGTCTATACCTGTTCACATGCAACGGTAATTACATCTACAGCTGTATGATTTTATTGTAACAAATGGATCAGAAAGATACCAAACTAACTAAATAACGATGCAAATTTGTTAAACATGTGAATTCATTGCTTTGTCTGGTTTGTCTGCAAGATGACAAGCAAACAACTTTTAAAATACTTGTTTTCTGAATGGAGTTCATATCAATCAGGGCTATTCTATGCTAACTTGTCTGATAGTAAACAGTGTTGACAGTAATGCGTTACAAAAGTAAGGCAATTACAATAATGTATTGCTTTTTGCTGTAACGCCGTAATACAGCTCCCTCCAAAAGTCTCGGAACGGTAAAGCAAATTCCTTTTGTTTTTGATGCTCACTGTAGACATTTGGGTTTCAAAAGATGAGTATGAGACAAGAGTTCAGAAGTTCAGCTGTTATTTCCGGTCATTCACATCTAGATGTGTTAAACAACTCAGGACATATCACCGTTTGTATTAGACCACAGCATTCTTAGGTGAGCAAAAGTAAAGGAACAAATAATCTTAAAGTAAATAACATTTAATATTTGGTGGCTTAACCCTAACCAATAACTGCCTCAAGCCTGCGACCCATCGACATCACCAAACTGTTGCATTCTTCATTTGTGATGCTTTTCCAGGCTTTTACCGCAGCTTCTTTCAGTTCTTGTTTGTTTCGGCGTGTTTCTCCCTTCAGTCTCCTCTTAAGGAGGTGAAATGCAGCTCTGTTGGGTTAAGGTCAGGTGATTGACTTGGCCAGTCTAAAACCTTCCACTTTCCCGCCCTGATGAAGTCCTTTGTTTTGTTGGCAGTGTGCTTTGGCTCATTGTCCTGCTGCATGATAAACTTCCTCCCCATTAATGTCAATGCATCTCAGTAAATTGGCAGACAAAATGTTTCTGTACACTTCTGAATTCATTCTGCTGCGACCATCATCACTTACATCATCATCATTCTTTCTTTTTCAGGACTTTCCAAATTGTTGTGCTTGCTATGCCCAATGTTTGTCCAACAGCTCTGTTCGATGTTCCTTCTTTTCTCAGCTTGACAATTGCTTGCTTTTCTCCCCTAGACAGCTCTCTGGTCTTCATGTTGGTTTATCCTCTTTAACAGAAAATGCAGTCTTTATAGGTTTGAACCAAGGATGAAAACTTAGACCAGTCATGCAGAGTTATTTAATGTTTGGACAATCAACCTAAAAGGCAACACCTGGGCTACAAGAAATACATAACTCTGCACACACTAGAACCCACCTACGCAGCACTTTTACTATCCGAATAATGTGCCCATTAAACAGCAGTGAAAGTAACTCAAAAGTAGTGTAAAGTATTACAATTCAGAGACAGTAATATTGTAATATTACTAATTATTCTCAAATGACAGTACCTAGTAATCTATAGTGTATTACATTTTGGAAGTAACTTGCACAACACTGATAGTGAAGTACAACAATAGCTGGAATCACATAACATACACATATTTTCTGAATTTACCAGGTAGATCAACTTTCTCCCTTTACTTTAATTATAACCTCTGAGCTTGCGTACTCGAATTTTGCGTTTTGTCATTTGCGGTGAATCATTGCCACCATTTGTGCCGCCAGACGCAAATTTTTGCGATTATGCCGCTCGAGTTGTAAGTGAAGTATGAGGGCACTTCCTGAAAGAGAACCATCCATAACAAAGTTCAGCAGAATTTTTTACGTTAACACACAAATTTAACAGGGATTCATTTAGCTGACGCTTTTGTCCAAAGCGACTTACAATTGCTATATATGTCAGAGGTCGCACGCCTCTGGAGCAACGAGGGGTTAAGTGCCTTGCTCACAATGGTGGATGTCTCACAGTGGGAATCGAACCCAGGTCTCCCACACCAAAGGCAAGCATCTTATCTATACACCATCACCACCCACAGGGATGTCATATTTACATCATGTTTTCCACATTATTTTTCTACCGTTTGAGGTTCGACTGGAGCTCTTTTAGTTACGTCGTGTGCTTGTCTCCCTGTGATCAATTTCTAATATTCGCATATTGCCAGTGGATGGAAATGCACATTAATTTGCATTTGCTTTTCCTGAATTTCTGGAAATTCGATTTGTATTTGGTTGCTGAAAAAGCCTCAGATATGATCCTGATGTAGTGCCGCTAATCAACCCTGGCTGTGTCGCCTGAGCGAGGGTGTCTGAAGTTAAAAGACCCCAGTTTATATCACTGATGATGATCCCCTAATCAATTATTATTATTATTATTAGTAATGTTTGTGTTGACGTTTGTGTCTTTGCATGTAGCAGCTGCACAGAAGCACATCCCAGTTCTCAGACGCCTACGAGATCAAAGAGGACATCGGCGTCGGGTCGTACTCCATCTGCAAGCGCTGCATTCACAAAGGAACCGGCATGGAGTACGCAGTCAAGGTACAACATCCACAGAGTCTGCAGCACGACCTCCACGTCCAGCTTTCCTTCACTGTAAACGCTGTTTGTCGCTGTTACAGATCATCAGCAAGGCCAAGAGAGACCCGACGGAGGAGGTGGAGATCCTGCTGAGATACGGTCAACATCCCAACATCATCACCCTCAAAGACGTGAGTCACATAAAACTGATCTGATTCAGGGAAACACGCTCACAAGTGGTCAGTCGTATTATGAATCTGACGCCTTTTTATTCATTTTCTTTTCCACTCGGTCGACCTGAATATCTAGCGAGTTTGTCTGTCTAGCTGAAAAGATTATTTTCCTGATTAGATGCAAGTGTTTTCAGTTTGGCTCCAGTTTTTCTGTGACTCACTCGTAATGAGAGTTAAAAATATCATGTTGCTGTTTGGTGAAAAATCCCTCGCTTGAATCACTTCCAGTAACTGAAGACGATTATATCTGCGTTTTATTTTGTTCACTTCCTTTTTTAAAAAGGCTGTTAGAGATAAATCTCTTTATCTAAAGTTTGTAAATAAAGTGTTTGCATATTATGAAGAATTCTAGTTTTAGTTCAGTTCTCTTATCTACACGCTGCGTCTGTTTTCTTCCTCCTTTCTGCTGCTGTGACACTTCCCTGCATGGGATCAATAAAGCTTATTTATCTTAAATAAATATTACACAAATGGCAAGAGCTGCAGCTATTGATTGTTTACATTTAGAACTGCAATGATCAATCGATTAGTTGTCATCTGTTACATTAATCACCACCTGTTTTCAGTTCTTCTGATTCCAGCTTCTTAAATAATTTCTGGTTTCTTTACTCAGTAAACTAAATCTCTTTGGGTTTGGACAAAACAAGACATTTGAGGACGACATGTTGAGCTTTGGGAATCACTGATCGATTAATCGAGAAAAGAATTGACCGAGTAATTGATAGTGATGGTTGCAGCCCTGTTTTTTCTAATAATTGTTCAGCCTATTAAATGTTAATAGTGACATTTTCTGAGCCCAAAATGTCGTCATCAGTTTGTTTGTTTTGTCCAAAACTTATACTTTATTATTATTTTTTTGTATCAAAAAGAAAAGTAGATTATTGATTATTTAATTTATTTACTTTTGTAATTATTTATTGCAGCTCTAGAAACCTGGATATGGTAATTCAATACAAGTTTACAGAAAGCACGAACCGAAATGACCTCCTGTAGCATTGAGTATCAAAAATTTACTCTATTTTGTCAAAATCTTTACACATACATGCCGCTGATGTATTAAGGTTTAAATCTTTATTGCAGCTGCAACTAAAAACTACACGTTGTCCAAAACAGAAAAGCTTAAAAGATTAATTGTTTATCAAAATCGTTGTTAATTTTGTGTCGAAGTTTTACACACACATTGATCGCTCTCATACAGTAGTTACTGAACCTCACTACCTTTTGAGTACTGACTGAAATGTCTTTGTAGTATTGAGCATCGACAATTGGCATGAAATGTTTAGTCCGATTTCCAGAATTTCTAACTTTAAACCATATCTTGTTGTTTTTTTGGCACTGATATCTTGAGCAGTTTGATGTAAAAAGAGTTAAAACATCTTGATTATGGGTGAAACTGATTCCGGATCAACATTTCAGTGTATGAAAAAATTATGTATAAGTAAAAGTTGATTATAAATTACTCAAAAGAAGAACATCAGAGAATCTTTGATGTTTTTGCTTTAAAAATTACTTAAATGATTAATTGATTGTTAAAATAGTTGCCATTTAATTTACCGTTACCAGGACTGAGGGGAAGGTATTTTCAAACGATGCACTGCTTTTCAGACTGAGTTTATTGTAATTTGGTGACTCATCTGTGCCTGTTGGAGCCATAATCTTCACACTGCATATTTTATTTAACATCACCAGAACAAATATGCACAATGAGCGGAACTGGAGCTGATCCCTTAGTTTGAATCAACACTGACATTAATTCACGGAACAATTGAGTGATTAAAACGCTGTTTGTGTTATTTCCATGTCGTAGGTGTACGACGACGGCCGCTCGGTGTACTTGGTGACGGAGCTGATGAAAGGGGGCGAGCTGCTGGACAAAATCCTCCGACAGAAGTTTTTCTCTGAGCGAGAAGCGAGCGCTGTTCTCTACACCATCACCAAGACGCTGGAGTACCTGCATGTCCAGGGGGTATGTCTCTCTAAAGGGGGTTTTAACGGTTTAAACTGACATCATAAAGTGTTTTTCCAAGTGAAGGAGGATTTTTAGGGATTGCAGAAAAGATGGAAACGGATGTTTTGTGCAAGAATTGGATTGAGGAATGAAAAGCTGCAGCAGAATCTGGTGTTAGATGTTTTTATGTTCACTAAAATTTAGTTTTTTTAATGCATAACTTAAGTCCATATCGGCGGCGTCGTGAAATAAAATCCAGTAAATGCATAAAAATATAAGAAAAAATTTGATTTAGGTTAACCAGACCTGTGGAAGTTACATAAATATGTCAATGTACAGCTTTAAAGTCTCTAAACTTAAACCCCTGGCTTCCTGTTCAGGTGGTGCACAGAGACCTGAAGCCCAGTAACATCCTCTACGTGGACGAGAGCGGGAACGCCGAGTCCATCAGGATCTGTGATTTTGGTTTCGCCAAACAGCTGAGAGCCGAGAACGGTCTGCTCATGACGCCGTGTTACACCGCCAACTTTGTTGCACCTGAGGTACAAAGTCTACTCAGTGTTAGTCAGCTGAAAAAAAGTACGTATTGTCAGCAACATGTACTTAAAGTATCAAAGTAAAAGTACTCACCATCAGTGTTTCACTATCATGTCTGATGTTTCTGGATTAATATTCCTGCTACATTAATGTCTATATTGTGTTTTACTGCTGTAGATGTTGAAGGTAGAGCTCATTTTAACTCAGATGTTTATGAACTGACACACAGTTTGTTCCTGAAGCTGAGTTTTTTTTTTCTGTGCTTCCTGGCAGGTGTTGAAGAAGCAGGGTTACGATGCAGCCTGTGACATCTGGAGTCTCGGAGTCCTGCTCTACACAATGCTCACAGGGTGGGGACTAACATCAGATATTACCTTCTCACCTCGGATAGTTTAAATAAAAAAGCGATTCATTTGTTAGGATCAAAGTGTGTGAACGTCCTTGGAACAGTCTGGGTAACACTTTGAAAACACTTGTGTATCTGACCATGAATACTTTCTCTTTCCCGTCCTTCGTTCTCTTCATCCCTCTCCAGTTTCACTCCCTTCGCTAACGGCCCGGAGGACACGCCGGAGGAGATTTTGGCTCGTATCGGCAGCGGGAAGTTCTCCCTCACTGGAGGATACTGGAACTCCGTCTCTGTGGAGGCGAAGGTGCGGACTCTGACACACCCACAGCAACTGTACAAGAATCAGCCATAACATTATGACCACTGGCACCTGTCAAAAGGGGGACACCAGCGACTAAGGCTCATTGATGCATGTGGGGAGCGAAGGCAGGCCCGTGTGGTCCTTTCCAACAGACGAGCTACTGTGGGTCAAGTTGCTAAAGAGCTGGATGCTGGTTCTGATAGAAAGGTGTCACTGCTGTGTTGGCGGCAAAGAGGAGACCTACATCGGGACCAGCAGGTGGTCATAATGTTATGGCTGATCGGTGTATCTCCCGACAAACACACAAGGAGTGTAAAAACTGAACTAGCTCTTACAGTATAGAGACATTTTCTCTTTTCCCTCGTGTGTTTAAGTTACCAGTGACTGCATCTCTCAGGTCAGCAGATTAAAACTGTGCACTTAAAACATCGACTGTAGACATTTAATCTGAAGGAGGTTGGAAGTTTTACTAAAGAAAATCCTTCCAAAATCATCCAACTTTGAGGTACTTGTACTTGCATCTTTTCTTTTCATACCATTTTCTACTTCTACTCTGCTGCATCTAAATACTGTACTTTTAACTTCACTAATTAATATTTTTGAACACATTTTTGAACATTTAAAGAGCTTATAAAATGTGTTGTTTTGTTATAAATTAAACAGTCTATACAAACCATTAGTCCGTTAATCAATCAGTCGACTGACACGAATATAATTGGCAACTATTTAGATAATTTTAGCGTTTTTTATTGTGAAAACATTTCATGATTTCAGCTTCTGCTCTTCCTTGTAACTTTAATGTTAATAATGTTTGACCACAACAGGCATTGTGAAGGTGTCACTCTCTGCACTGTGACGGCATTTCTCAATGTTGTCTAATTTTTGCAAACAATCAATCGATTAATGGAGAAAGTAATCAGCTGATTAATCCATTATGAACATAATCGTTATCTGCAGTCTGGTACAAAAATATCTTCACCAACGACAGCAGTAACATCGTGCTTTTACATTAATGCATAAGGGTCAATAATCTGATGATAGAATATATAAGAGTACAATTTAAGTAGATTTTCCTGATTATACTTACATACTTTAACTTAATTAACATTTTTAACGCAGTTCTTTTTCTTGCAACAGAGTATTTTTAAAGTGTGGTAATGGTACTTTTACTTTGGTCAAGGATGTGAATACTTTTTTCTTCTTTTAATCAAAACATATGTGTCCTTCATGTTGACAAGTACATTCAAGACTTCCAATATTTACGGCCCCCAGAGGATAATTTTTGCATTAATCCATGTGACCTCTGACCCCCTCAGGACCTGGTGTCCAAGATGCTCCACGTGGATCCCCACCGGCGGCTGACTGCGGGTCAGGTTCTCCGACACCCCTGGGTGACGCACCGAGACCAGCTGCCCAAATACACCCTCAACAGACACGACGCTCCGCACCTCGTCAAGGTGACACAAGCGCACAACAAACTCTCTCGTTTTGACGTGTCAGATCATTTCATGTCATGGAAACGACACCTCCCCCGTTCACAAAATAATAAAAAACATTTTCATAATGAAAGCGTGCAGAAGAAGAAGAGTTTGTGCTGCAGATTTCTATCTCAGCCAAAAAAAACCCTTTGAATCCACGTCGGACATTTTGTGTTTTGAGTCTTACATTTTTGGAGATAAACAAAGTAATTTTTTTTTTTTTTCAATCCTTTAAACTCACTAACCCTAAAGTTGGTCCAAAAACAAATACAATTTTACCAGGAAATGAATCAAAAGTCTTCTGGTGCTGAAAGTAATTACACAACTTATGCAGATTAGTATGCAAATGCAAGTCTGACGGCGCTTTGAAAGTTTCTACATAAAAACAGTGTTGAAATACATTAAATATCTCTGTGTTTATTTAGTGTCATAATAAAATCACAGTTTGTGATTTACATTTAATGGTAACAGAAACATACTGTCAGAAAAGAGATTTTAAAAAGATAGTTTTTGTTGTATGTTCATAAGTTTAGGTAACTCTGCTGAACGCGTTGGTGTGTTTTTATCATTAGCCCAAATGTATTTATTCATTCAAGGGTTTTTATTCTTAACCCCCATTTGTGGAATTACATTATGATGCCAAACTCAGATATTTTATGTATAAATATTTTTTTCCTCCAAGAGCAGCAGACGTGTTGCTATTACTGCTCATTAATATCAATTAGCAACACATTAATGTGAAATATCGACTTTATCATAAAGATAAAATAATTTTTAGCTCATATTTTTTAAGTCGTTTATTTGCTCTTGTGCGAGAAGTGTTTTTAAAAAATAACTTAAAATTTCATTTCATTCGACTGAGATTTATATTCATTTTTCACATTTCAACATAAAGGAGATCTGCCTGTTCAATACTAGGCCTGCAACAAAATTTTATATCGTGTATCAATCAGTAGTTCAATCCATAAATAATTTAAAAAAATACTAAAAAATGAATTATAAAATTATTTCATTGTTATTTATTTAGTGGTTTATTTAACAGGGACTTGCACATTTAAAGACACCCTAATAAAGAATATTTTTAGAAATCAATAATAAATTACGGAGATTAAAATGTTGATTAAAATTTGATTTAAAAAAGCTTATAAGCATGCAGGTCAATAATAAAACAGAATATTAATATTACTAAATATACATATAATAGATATAATGAATATATCATTATGCCATGGAGGCATGATGAGTTTTTCTAAAACGTGTTTGATTCTTGTCTTCTAAACGCCGGTGACTCTCTGTGTCCCCCCTGCAGGGTGCGATGGCGGCCACCTACTCGGCTCTCAACAGGAACGTCCCCCCGGTCCTGGAGCCGGTGGGCTGCTCCACTCTGGCCCAGCGGAGGGGGCTGAAGAAGATCACCTCCACTGCTCTGTGACCTTTAACCCCCCTCCCCCAACTCTGACCTCGATCCGCCGGACCCTCACCCTTCCTCTCTGTCTCTGGTCCGGTCTGGTGGGACAGACTACTGATGGACCCAGGAACCGCTTACGCCAAATAGGAACACGGAGACCCCACTGCCCCCCTCCCCCCCTCGCCCTGTCCTGCAATTAACGGACTCTTGTGATTGGATCTCGTGGCTGGTTATTTCTCAGCTTTAGCATCACTGTTTGACAGTCTGAACCCTCTGGTGGCGTTTTTTTTTTTTTTTTTGCTTTGGACAATCAGCGTGGCCTCGTGGACCCGTAGACCGAGCACGCATCAGGAAAATAAAAAGTACTCTATTTATTTACTTTCGAACGGGGAAATCTGAACATAGGAACATGGTAATCTAATGTATGCATTTAAAGAGCTAGGATCATTGACGTTATACTGTCGTATTGGTTCTGTGTAGCTGTAGATCCTGTATTTAAACCTTAAGTAGCCTCTGAGATGACGCCGTCCGCAGAAAAGGACAGAAGGTGTGAGTCAACGTTAGCGGCAGGTTGGCGTTCGGACCAGCCTCGGCCTCAAAATGTTGCTGTTTGCTTTTCCAGATTTACCTGCAGAGCTAGAAAAAAAATCAGGACGTAAGAAGGGAGAACTCTGATAACAGAAGCATTTACTCAACTTGATGTTTTTTGGGATAAAGAAAAGTCTCTCAGGAGAGGTGATTTTTATGCATCTCACACTTCCAGTATCCAGTATTTTACCTTTCAGGTGCAAAACACAAAGAAGAAACGTTGGTTAGTCTCAGCCGGCAGACGTCCAACAGTTCAGCATGCATCCAGCAGCCTGTGTCCAAAACTTAAATTCATTTTGGGAATGAAACCAAACTTTTGTCCCCTCAGATTTGACGTAAACTTAAAGGAGGAGACTGGCAATATTCCCCATAAGACCAAAACCAGCAGTACCTTCTGACTTCCTTTCGTCTCAGCTCCAAGCCCACTGGTTCCTACGGAAAATATGAATCCTTAAAAACAGCTGCTCACTTCAGTTTTTAATCAAACAAACAGGAGGAAACAGTGCATTTGTTGGGGATTATTTTCAGCGGCGGATGAATCCACATGCGGTGCTCTAGTGAGTATGTGGGGGCAGCAGGACGGTGTGTGTGGGGCTGAGTCAGAATAAACTACAGTGTGTGTGTGTTCATGGTGATGAAGGAACATGTGACCCAGTGCAGCAGTGAGGCTCACTGATGGGTTTTAATAGTTTTTAACAACAAAGGAGCTCAGAGGAAGAAGAGACATCAGGCTGTGAGAGACACACAGGACGTGTTAGGAGATTCATTCACTGCTGGTTTTGGTCTTTTTTTCATGAGATTTGAAAAACGCAGAATATATAAAATGTATTTTAATCAAATTTGAGAGGAAACCTGGGTAACAGTAAATTAAATGTAACTTAGAACAAGTAGAAAATTACAACCGAAGCGCTTAAAGCAACAAGAACAACGCAGATTTTTAAAGCTGCACAAGGAAATAAGTTGGATTCTTCTGGAGGTTTTTATTCTTTTCCTGTCTCATCTGGTACTTACAGGACTTTCCCCCTAGAGCGAGCTGAATTTCTTTTATGCAAAAACCAGTGGTGGAAGAAGTACTCAAGTAGCAATACCACAGTCTAGAAAAATAAAATCCTGCATTCAAACTTAGTATTAGCATTAAAATATACTTGAAAGTACCACAAGTAATAGTACTCACTATGCAGAGTGAAATTCATTTATGCAAAAACCAGTGGTGGAGGAAGTTTACTCAAGTAAAAGTACCAAAGTATTAAAATATACTTCTCAAAAGTACTCAATATGCAGAGTGTGACCCCTTTCAGAGTGATAGATTCTACTGGACTCTAATTATAAATGCATGCCTGTGTAAGTATCACTTTAATGTACTTTATATACTGCTGGGTAGCTTAATCTATAAAAATACATCATAAGTATTTGTTGTTTTAATAATCTGACGTTGACGTAGAGCAGTAAAAAGTATATTTGCTACCAAAGTAAAGTGGTATAAAAATGTACTTCACTATAGTACGTATGTACTTTTCACCACTGGCTAAAACGGCGTGAATCTAAAGCATCCGTCCGACAGTACGTCTGGTGTGTGTTGGTGTTTTAAGACCTTGTGCAGCTTTAAGACGTGTCAGCAAAGTTAAAGCATCTTAAACTCGAGGAGACGTCTGCACAACAAACACACGAGAACGAGGGGGCATGTTTGAGGCCGGCGGCGTCCTCGTTCCTCTTTATTCTTCCCCCCACAACACAAACAGGAGGATGTTTGTGTTTACCTGCTGACCCTGAGGACAAAATGACGATTTAACTTCGAATAAGCAGAAAGTTGGATAAAGAAAAAGGCGCCAGAGAGAGGGAAAGCGAGCTTCCTGCTTTCGCTTGATCAGCCTCTGACCTTCTGTATGAGCCGGACGATCATCTCTGTTTGTGCAGCAGCAGACAGGAAGCTGAACTGTAAATATATTAAAAAAAAACTCAGGTTTCTATGAATCAAGACGATGCATTTTTAGATGTCCGGCCGGAGAGAGAGAGAGAGAGACGCACACGAAACGAGCAGACAGATGACGAGTGATGGGAGGTGAAGCAGGACGCAAGGGGGGGAACCTGATCGACCCATTTCATCTTCACGGACGTTTGAAGTTCTTCCACCTGCAGTTTTACAAAAGTCTCTTGTTCGTCTTTAACGTGTTCATGCTCGTGATGAAGACGATCTTCTGTCAGCAGAACCCTTTAAAAGACTCAATAACTCAAAGTGTAGCAGAAAAAAAGGTGTTCCAGTTGTATTCAGGCGTTGAAACTACCTGTACGTGTGTCCCGCCATCTTGGAGGTTCATCAGTGGAGAAGTTCACCCAAATTACAAAAAGACATATTTTCCACCTAACAGAGGATTTAATGTTCAGGCATCTTGACTTTAATCAGCGTTGGGAGAAGGTATTCAGACCTTTTACTAAAGTAAAAGTACCAATAACACAAAGTAAAAGTCTTGCATTCAAAATACTACTTAAGTAAACAGAAGTATACAGAAGCATGTACTTGTAAAAGTGCAGTAATTCTGCCGCCCCTGGGACTGATATAATTTAATATGTCACTATTAGATTAACACTGATCCATCAATGTGTAAGTAACATTTTATTGTTGTAGCTGCTCGAGGTGGAGTTTATATAAACTACAGTTTAGTCAAGTTGTTTCTGTCTAAGTCACCAGATAACTCAGAGGAGATGCGAGATTATTAAGTTCTACTAAGATCTACATATCTTACACATTTATCGCACATCTCTTAATTTTTTGTGTGAAATATTTGTTAATTTTACCTTTTTTGAGCATCAAACTGTTTAAATGAAACCATGTGAGAAGTTTAGAGGGTAAAAGTATATCAACGAAGAGACGAACCAAAAAGGTTGGAAATTACTGGTTTAATCTTTAACAATTTAAACATATTATATATTTTTTCAAATGTAAATTCTGAATCTTAAAAAATAACCAGTAACTACAGCTGTTAGATGAATGTTGTGAAGTCAATATTTCCCTCTGAGATGTGCTGGAGTAAAAGTATAAAATGGCAGAAAACGAAATAAACTGAACTTTTTAAACGTCTTTTTTTTATGCTGCTTTATATTTCTACTCCACATCTCCGTGAAATATTGTACTTTTTCTCCAAGTACAGTTGTTTTACATTTAAGGAAAACATGATACAATGCAGTATTATACTGCTAATCTACACAGTAGTACATAAAGTATATAAAACTGACTCCACCTTGACAAACTATAACATTAAAATGATAATTATAGTAGTACAGTTATTCTGCATAATGAGTACTTTCAGTACATTTAGCTGATAATGCCATTTTGAAATCAGTATTTTTAGATATAGTATTTACACTTTAATTATTACTGAAACCAAATGAAACATTTATTTACAGGAAACTTTGTAGAAATAATCAGAAACCTCTGAGTTTTTTTTTTTTTGTAGTTTAGGTGAACTGTCCCTTTAATTAACTAAAGCACAAAATGCAGGTAGATCTAAACTGATCTCTTCAGAATGAATCACTCAGCTGTTAGATGTGACCTCCAACCTGGTGTTAAAGCCCTCTGTGTTGGACCTGATCCCACACGGTTCGGTTTAACACCTGTGTGTGTGTGTGTGTGTGTGTGTGTGTCCTCTCACCTGGAGTTTTAACTGAAGACAATCAGCAAGCGCTAAAAAGTAAAATATCTGCTCCCTCTCTCCTGCATCAGTTCACCATGAACCCCTTCAGGCTGTGAGTGAAAACCGGTCCGCTAAACATAAAGGGATAAAACTTTTACTGCTCTGAGATTTCATTTTGTTTTATATATATATATAAAATGAAATAAATATATGTTGATCTTGATCGGTGTGCAGCTCTGGGATAAAGGAATGTAAAAGGAAAGTTTTTTGTTTTTTTTTCTGTAATTATGGACTGCTTTCTCCATCTTCTTCTTCTTCCTCCTCTTCTTCCTCTTTAATCTGAGACGCATTCAGCCCTGCTGCTACGCCAGCTCTCTGTTTTTGTACCTGCAGTGAGAGTTGGACTTTCTATTAAAAACAATAAAAAGGATGATCAGCTGATGAACGCACGGCGCCTCTGTTTTTAAAGGGAAGCTTCACCACGCAGACACTTTCCTGTTGTCAAGGAATAAATACTGTTATTGTTGTTTTCCCCACAAATTAATATCAACAAGAGGTGTTTCATAAAGGCAGTACTCAGTAGTACTCTCTTAATGTAATGTAGGCTACAAAAGTACTAGCATCAAAGCATACTTAAAGTACTCTTTATAATTATTGATGCATTAATGGACTTTTAGCTTGTAAGGCCTTTTGTTTATTCTTTAAAACTTAAATGTCTTTGTTATTTTCAAGATGTGCAGATACCCTCTTTACTTTTATTTGACCAGTTTTATGTAGTAGAAGTATAACAAATAACAAAACGGGCCCTGGAAAGTTTCTACAAGGGTCAATATACCCCACAAAAAATTAAATTATTTATTTAATTATTAAACAACTTTAGTGATCGTCTGTTTTTATCTAGCGCCACCATCAGGTCAAAATGTATCAAACACTTTGGTTTATGACTAAACACCTGACGACATTCCCATCAGCCTCAGCTGTACTTTACTGCTTATAAGCAAATGTTCGCATACAAGATGGTGAACTCGGCAAACGTTATATCAGCTGAATATCAGCACTGTCATTGTGAGCATGTTAGCATTTAGCTAAACGCTGTGGCTCACTGTGCTCTACGTGAATATTTATCATCTGTTTTAAGAGCAGAGCATCTAAGCAATTGTCTTAAAATGTATGTTTTTAAAAATCTGCCGTTTTAGAAAGTGAACCAAAACTAGTCTGCATGCGGTATTGAGATTATATCAACAGGTTTTGATGCTTCAAACACATTTCAGTTACGTTCACTTGCAGACCAGAGTGTTTTGCCGGGAGCAAAATAACACAATGATAAAATAAAATCAGTGGCGTTTCCCTTTAATGTCAGAAAACAAAACGAAAAAGACATAAGGATAAAGTTTAGAGACAAGCAGCTACAGCAAAGAATAAAAAAACAATACAAAAATACACGTTACCGAGATGATAATTTCAAACATGTAACATATTTTAATTTTCAAAACTAAAAACTCACACTCACTTGTAAATGTTTAATAAAGACAGTTCTTCTGTGTTTATGCACCAAACCTAGTTGATATTTTAGTGATTTTAGCACCTTTTAATACTTGTTTCATCCTCCAACGTTAGAATATTCATGATTTATATTTGAGTGTAAAATAAAGTGTTTTATTCCTTTACTGCCTCTATTTAACAACAAAGTCATGCATTTAATCCCATCTATTGAAAATTCATTCATAAACAAACAAACGTTATAACTTTAACAGTGTTTAACTGTTTATATGATGCAGATTTATTCTGAAAATGTGTCGTCACACTTCCTGTTAAACATAATGAGAAAACATGTCCACACACTGCCTCAACCTGGTTCTCAATCTGCAGATTTAGACCCCTAATAAGGTCCAGATTTAAATCTGAAGGGCCACAACATAATAAACAAAGAAAAACACATAGTCTGAGCATTATTTCAAATGTTTGTGTTTTTCTTGTGTAATACTGAAAACTTTCACTTCTCTAAAAAAATTATTCAAATTAAACAATCACCTCTTTAGCGCACGATCACACCAAGATTGTTATAAAGTGTAAATAATGTAAATAAATTGTTGAGTCACAATTAAAAAGTTTGGGAAATACTGCTGCTGTAACAAATACTTTCACTTTCATTACTTTTTGGTTAATTAGTTGAATCTTCTTGCCTTTATAGTGTAAAAAAATGTTTTTTTTACTTCATAAACAATTTAAATAGTCATTAAAGGTTAGAAAAAAGATGTTAAATGTAGTTTATTTTTCCTGATGAGCTTAATAATCAATGTTTTACTTTTGTAAATATTTTCTAGTAAAGTTTCTACATCAGTTTCACAATTGTACATTGTATTTTTTTTTAACAGATTGGATTTAGGGATTTGGCAAAACAATCTCAAAGCAATTTAGAAGCTGTTCTGGAGCTTTCAATCATATCAAACAATCTTCATCAGTGTCTCAAGATGAGAGATGTAAAGTTTCTGTAATACATTTTAAATTCACAGTGAGGGCGTTTACATGCATGCAGGCTTTTCTCTAGAGGAAAACAATAACCTGGCTCTTCTGGTGCGTTTATTACAAATCAAGTGCTCCTTGCTTTTCTGACAGAGACCACACATTATTTTAACTGCTTCACTTAAATTCTATGAAATCAGCACAAACTGATCCATCACAGTGAACATCTGGTTCTCTTCTGTGTCGTGTTCTCCGTTATCCTCATTGTGTCGCTGCAGTTAAAACTGAGGGCTAATTAGAAAATAATTCTGTCAGGGTTATTCGTAAAGTGCTGATAAAAAGCTTTTACTGCAGAAAAAGCATCATAATTATGAGTTCTGCAGCTCATATAGGTTTCTGAAGAGCCATGTGGGCGGCTCCTGGTGGCTCCGGCCGCTGTCTGCTCCTTCATCAAACTTTAAAAGCTGCGTTACACTTAGGAAAATGTCAGTATTAAAGAAAAACACGTTTTAGCATGAAAACAAAACTGGCATTGCTGCTTACATGGGCGTCCATTTTTGTTTTTATCATGTATATGTTTTCAAATAATTACGGCGGCAGATACTTAATCTTCTTACTCGGATCATCGTTTTCTTCCTCATGTATTTGAAGAAACCAGCACCTACAAGATGTATTTGATGGCAGGATAATTACTACTCCTAAGAGTATAATTACATGCCTGCTGCTGCCTGCAGGTAAACATCCTCACTCCGTAATGCTGCTGTGAAGCTGCAGGATGAAAACGGATCGACCCTCCTTCGGTTAGTGTCTGGATTAAACAAACAAGACATAACGTGTTAATTCATTAACTTCAGACCCGCTTGTCAGATGGCTTTTCTAGTGTACCCCAGCTCTTAGATGTGCTGGTAGGCTATCTGTTTCCCCTGTTTCCAGTCTTTGTGCTAAGCTAACTGGCTCCAACTTCATATTTACTGTACAGACATTAGAGAGGTGCTGATCGTCAAACTCTCAGCAAGAAAGCACATTTGCAAACTATTCCTTTAAATAAAAGAAATCAACATATCCAACAGGCTTGATGGCCACATACATAAATAAGACCCAGGTTATGATCAATTCCCTACCGAGCGCGATGTCACCAAACTGTATTTACTCCACACATGACACTGAGACTCCACCAGATGGCACCACAGTTATGAACAACTTGAGGCAAGTTGTGAAATTACAAAACCAGGTTTCCTAAATTTGATACATTTACAAAAAACAAACAAAAGTTCAGTTCAGTTTCGTCAAAGATGCATAAATGTCAGACGTCCACCTGACAGAGAGGAGGTCACCGAGCTGCTTTAGTCTAAAAATGATTTTGGAAAGACGAAACGTGTCAGAAGTCAGAGTCGTCGGTGGCGGAGTTATCAGCGCCGGCGGGGACTGCAGGCGTCTGCAGGTGGTTTTCAGTAGACCCCTGCTGCTGCTGCTGCTGCTGCTGCTGCTGCTGCTCTTCTTGTCGTGGTTTTTGATGTGAATAGTCAGACCCCTCTCTGTCATCTCATAGATCTGACACTTGGCGCAGTGGTAGGGCGACACGCCGACGTGCCTGAACTGGTCGGCCAGGTACGACACGAGCGTCTTGAAGCCTTTATTACAGATGTCGCAGCGCGGGATGACGCCCGGGTGCTCGGTCTCCAGGTGCCTCTTCAGACCCCACCTCGAGCCTTTGAACACCGCCTTGTCCGCGTCCGTTTTGTTTTCCGCCTCCGCCGAGCAGAGGAGGCAGGTGAACACCGCGTCCTGGTTGGCGTGGCGTCGCGTGTGGGCGTCCAGCTCGATCTGAGAGCGAACCGTTTGTTTGCACGACGCGCAGAAGAACGTCTTCTTCCCCATCAACTGGTGCATTTGTTTTAAATGTACGGCCAAACCTGAGCCTCTCTTGAAGAACCTGCCGGGCGGCGGGCACAGCGAGCACACCAGTCTTTTACCTGAATTCATCTCCATCACGTCGCTGTAGTTCTCTCCGAGCTCCAACACACACTTATTGCTCAGAACTTCCTCCTTTTTAGCCTCCAGCTTCTTCTTCTGCCTCGCCTCCTGTCTCGGCCTCGCCGGCCTGAGCGGTTTGGACGTCACAGGCGAAGGAGCTCTGGCGTCCTCTCCAACCACAAGATTTTTAGTTACTGGCTTTTTGGCCGGGAGCGATCTGTCCACGGACATCGTAAACTGGTAGCTCTCTCCCTCCTCTTCCGGATTTGAATACTCGATGACATAAACACCGTCTTCCTCCTCCTCTCCCGCAGCCGCTGCCGCCGCCGCCACCTCCTCCTCCGCAGGTATCGAGTACTCCATCTCATAGTACTCTGCGGCGGCGTCTTTGACCTTGACCCCGACATGAGACTGCTCCTCTGCGATGTGTGTGTCATCTATTCTCACCACGGTTATCTGGTCCATCCCGCCTGAACCGTCCCAGCCTGCATTTCCTGACACGCCTGACGATGACGTAGCTCTTCCTGCGGGCCCGGCTCCGACCGCCGGATGTTCAGAAAACATCTAACACGAGAGAAAAAAACAAATAACAGATGGTTTAATGCTTTCACCCCCACGGATACTGGAGGATTTATGAATGAAGCAGCAGATGTGCAGATTGTATTTTACTGCAAAGTGACGTTTATGTGCAGCAGCGGCTGGATGTTATAGTAAGCGTATTTCATCAAACACTTCCTGTAGCTGCAGGTTTCCTCCAATCAGAAGGAAGACAACAATGATCCCAGTAAGAATATGAAGTGTGTGTAGCTCATTATATATTATTATTGTGTACTAATGTTTAGCTCAGTATGTGTGAAATAGTCTCTCCAAAACACAATGATGGACAAAAAAAAAAAAAAAGAGATTTATGTTTCTTGTGTGTTTCATAGTGTTTTCAGGTTTTAAATGAAATTATAAAACCTTACCTGTAACGACTGGGTAACGGTTGGATGGATGGATGTTATTGTTTGTGTTTGGAATCGTTTTACTAAAAAGGGGAAGGGGGATTAATTTCCTAGAGTATTTATTTAATAATAATTATGGCAAAAGGAAACATAATGCTTAAAAACACACGTTATACCTCCTGTTATAACATAATATTCTGTTTTATTGAATGCAGAGAGAAGCTGCAACACTTCTTTTCCTCACTGAACTATTTTCCCCCTTTAAATAAATGTTTACTCACCAGGATGCTGCTGCTGAAGTCAGCCATCACAGCCAAACCTCGCCGCTCAGGTTAGCTGGAAAACAAAACTGCAGCTAGCTTTAGCTTAGCAACAAGGAAGCTAACGTGCAGAGAGACTACGAGTTCAAGCCGGAAATACGTATCTTTTTAAACTTTGCACGACTTGGCTATTTGTGGGTTGAGACGACGAGTTGAAACGCGCGTCTAAATGTTCAGAAAGAGACGATATTTAACCTTTACTCGCTGCAGGAGGGTCACTAGCTGAGCTCAACCGAAATGTTTCTTCCTGGAGAAATAAAAACACCGACAGCTCCTCGGAGGGGGCAGCGCGCCCCCTGGTGGCGCGGAGGAACAGCGCGCAATTAAATCTGCACAAATACTGCAATACTGATGTAAAACCTCGGGTCCGGGGACCCCCAAGAGTCCCCAGCAAAGAAGTTAATGGTTTGTTTTTTACTATATTTCCATCCATTGGTCACACTATAACAGAATTTGCAAGATTATCTATTATAATATTAAATGTGCAATGGTTTCTGCTTCAATTCTGCTTCTATTTATTTAGTATGTACATCATTACAATTCTGTTAATCATGTAAATATAGTCCATATCCATACTCCTTTATATATTTTTTTATCCTTATATTTTTCTCAAAATTTTATATTTATACTTTATTTTACTTTCTAACTTTCTAACTTTCTATTATTATTCCTATTCCCTTTTGCCTTGATGTGCAACGTGTATATCCATAGCTGTCATTTACACTGGGGACGCTGGGGACATGTCTGTTCCATTCTCTCCCTGTGAACATGACAAGAGAGGACTAAATCCTGCCTACATATGTGTTGCCTCAGCAGTGATGATATTACATGAGAAAAGTTGATCTCCAGGAGAAACAGACCTGAAAGCAGCACAGAAAGCCTGAGAGCTGCGCTGACTTACATTCTATTATATTTATATATTTTGAAATGTCAACTTCTGCCTGAATTTTGCATAAAGAAAAACATTTCCACCATAAACTGGTGCAGAAACTTTCACTAGAATGCAGTGAAATGCAATGCATGCAATGAAATTAAGTGTTTAAAGATCAAAATTTCCTGTGGGAGGTCCCCCAGACATCCCACTCATATATCTCACCATTGAGGATATCTTTAAAACACTGTTTAAGGATCTTTCTGTCTCGTTCTCATGAACCTAATATCACGCCTCGTGATGTCTCGCGAGCTAAATGTCTTTTCACACCCCTAATCTGAGCGCCTGTGTCCCCACCACTTTTCAATACAAAGTGACGCCCTTGTGTATATCTTATTTTTTGCAACTGTGACACAATAGTTTCCCCACGGGGATAAATAAAGTATTTCAGATTATGATTATGATTTTGAATGTAAGGCAAGGCATGTTTATTTGTATTGTAACACATTTCAGCAACAGCGAAATTCAAATTGCTTTACATGAAACATAAAAGCAACAAGCAAATTGTGAAAAAAGATTATTATTTTTACAAATAATCTTCCATTGTTTGCTTTTTTGATTTCCTATTTCGTACGATATTTATTTCCTCTTATTGTCACCTTGAATCCAGATTGTTTGCGCTACAATCTTTGCGCTACTATTTACTTTCCTTATGTTTATTGCTTACGCACAAAACTGAACGTGCAAATTCCTTCTATGTGAAAATGGACTTGAAGAAAGAAAAAAGCAAGAAACCTGATTGTGATTCTGAACATCTGATCTTACATTTCAGCGGGAAGTATTGTGCAGTTTACTCCACAGCTGGAGTTACTTTATAGATTAAGGTTTGACTTTCAAAATATATGATCAACATATAGTTAAACTAGCGTAACTGTGTATAAAGTTGTTAAAACAAGCTTCACCTTGACCAGCTCCGATACTAAAAATGCAGATTGATGCATCAGCAGTGGTGGAAGAAGATTTTTTACACAAAGAAAAAGTAAAACATAGCAACATGAACATATACTTAAAGTACCAAAAGCTTAAAAAGAAAACCTGATTATGCAGAATGGCCCATTACAGGATTATAAATATTATATAATTAGATTATAATTATGCATTTATGTGTCGTACCACCAGATTCCAGAGCAGCTTCTTTTCACCATTTAAAATAACTTTATTTCTGCACATAATTTTATTGTTTACTTTTGTGAGTGGGAGAAAGGGAACTACAAACGTCATCTCATTATCTTTTACAACCATGTGCTGTAAAATGACAAATAAACCTTGTAACCATCACTTTGACGTTGCAGCTGGTGAAGGTGGAACTATAAACACTTCATATTCTGCTGGGAATCTTAATCTATTAATCATTTGACTCCCGTTTTATGTTGCTATTAATGTCAAACACAGTCCCAAGGACAGTTAACAGGAAGATAAACACGGACATGCGGCGAAAAAACAAGGACAACAAAGATGAACAGAGATACAAGACAAAACAAACTGTGTGTTTGTGCTGCAGGCCTACCCACACTGAAAACCTGTTTTTAAGTAAAGAGACGCTATAAGCTGAAAGCAAACGGCCCTGGGTCAGTGTGGAGGGGCCAAATATAGCCTAGATAAATAAAATAACCAGATTGGAGTGTCAGTTTCACTCCAGTGAATTAAACACAACAAGCTACTTCATCACCCTACATGCAAAAATAAACCTGTAGAATATGTTTTATAATAATATAACACTGTCAGACACCACTAAGCATTTTTACTTTGATCCTTCTGTTCTTTTATTTCAGTAAAATGTTGAGTGCAGGACTTTTACTTGTATGTATTATTTTTACATGGTCATCTCCACCTCGACCAGCTTCAACAGTAAAATGCTATTTGACGCATCAACGATCCAACAATAGATTATTTTCTGCGGAATGATTATAGGTTGTATTTTAAGCACAATTTGCTGATGATATGTCTGTACACGAGTACAGTATAGAGTGTTTTTATATTTAGGTATTTCTACTTTACTTAAGTAAAGGATCAGAATAATACATTTTATACTCCAGTGGTGGACAGTATTTAAGTACATCAGCTCAAGTACTGTACTTAAGAACAAATTAAAGTATTTTCTTTCTACTCAAGCACATCTCAGAGGTAAATATTGTACTTTTCACTTCACATTTATCTGACAGCTTCAGTTATCATACAAATTTGGATTTTTACACCAAAAAACGTAGAGTTTAAAAATATGTTTTGTTATAAATTAGACTACTACACCTAATGTATTTATTAATAATTTTACGATTTGCACTGACAAAGAGAGCATTGTGAAGGTGTCACTTTAGTCTCTGGTCAATTTTGACAGCATTTCTCACTATTTTCAGATTTTGTTGTTTGTTTGTTCATTTATTTATTTAAAAGGGACAGTGGACATTAATGAACATAAGGACTAAGTCCAAAATGTAAATGAGCCAGATTTAGCTGAATTAGCTGACACATTTTCATCTGGAGTCTCTGGCAGGTTGATGGCATAACAAAAAACATAAAACATGGTGTACAGAAAACATTAAAACATACAGCACATAATCACAGATAACTTTTACAATTGACTGATGGAGAAAACAATCAGTGGATTAATCCTTAATTGTAGTCTGATACAAAATAGTTCAACCTCAACTAACGCCAAAAGTAAAATCCTGCTTTTACATAAATACATGTTAAATAATAATCTAATGATATATAATAGAATAACAGTTGCATGGTGCTTTTTGATTCTGCATTGAGTAACATTTTCAATGCAGTAATTTTACTTGTAACTTGTATTTTTACAGGGAAGTATTAGTACTTTTACCTAAGTAAAGGATCTGGGTACTTCAGGTGTTCACCTGCCGTTTAGATGTTGTCCGCAGTCTATTGTCTCTGTAACAATCACCTGTTACAATAAAGCAATGGCATTTTGAATATCTTGGCGGGCGCATGCGCAAACCGGCACAGAGCCTCAGCTAGCTTCTCGCTTCGTTCAGTGAATTTAGACTCTGAGCTTTTAGCTGACTGTTAAAAACAGTTATTGTTTAACAGAAAGTCTTTTCCACCGAGCGGGATTAGAGTGACCGAGGCGTGAAAGAATATGCCCAAAAATAAAGGTAAGGACCCCGGAGGAAGACGTTAATGTTGTTAATTGTGTTCGCGCCGTGAAGACACGCAGTGAAAACGTGACACCGACCGGCTAAAGCTAGTTAGCATCACGGATTATTGTCTTTTACGCGTCCGTCAGCTGGATCTGTGTGTTTCTTACTCACTCAGGATGAGTTTGGATGAGTTAAAGATGAAGTTTAGGCCAGATGAAGTTGTTAAACACGGTGTGCCTGCTAGCCAGCTAGCTAAGACACCGCACTATAACGGCAGGGTAAGTCCGTTGGTTGTTAGCTAACACTGCTAACTAGCTAGTTGATAGTTAAACCCCACCCGGTCTGGCCCCGTGACATCTGCGGCTTTATTCCAATAAAGTTAACCCAGGGTAATTCAGGTAGCTTGATAAAGGGATTTTAAACTCATCTGAGGATTTGATTTGAGCGTCTTAAAAAAAGTAAAGTTACTAGAATGTCACTTAGAGTAGCGTGCTAGCAAGCTAACGTCAGTCTAAACCTTAGCTGACGTTACTGTTCTTGTCCTTATCTTCTTCTTCTTCTTCTTTCCGGTCATGTACAGAGCGGCTGACACGAGCTTTTAAATGATTATTAATGTAATCAATAAGCGTTTACAGACAGATCATCAGTGGGGGACGTGTGTCAACTAGACATTGTCACGACGGGAAGTGTAGACTAAACAGGAACCGAGAGGTGACCGGTAACTCTGTGAATTATAGATCACACAAACATTAATTTTCTGAAAATTCTGGTCTCTGTTTACAGGTAAGGGAGGAAAGAATCGGCGACGTGGAAAGAACGAGAATGAGTCCGAGAAGAGGGAGCTGGTGTTCAAAGAGGATGGACAAGGTGAGTCCTGGTCCAGGCTGGTGGGCCACTGTGTGTCTTTTCAAAGGGGACCTTAGTGTTTAGTTACACAACCTTTAAAAGGCAAATTAGGGACATCAGAATAAACTTGTGTTTGTATTTATAGGCAAACAGGAGTACCTGTAGTAACTCTGGTCACCATATGTTAACTTTATTCCTGTTGTTAGTGGATATGAGAAGAAACCATCCAGAACCTCTGGTGTTTATTTTACATTGGGGAAAAGCTTAAATGCTCAGTAAGTCAACATGAAACTACTTTGGAACCATTTTGATAATTAATTCAAAATTTAATCATCAGTTTAAAACAAAAAAATCACTGGATCCAGCTAGGGCTGTGCGAGATGACGATAAAATTTCATATCCTTCGATGTTGATATTTATCAGGATAAATGTCTTTCAAGTTTAAAGGCTGATTTTTGCTCCGGAGGGAAATTTTAAAGAACCAGACGTTTAATTGTGGTTTTAAACTTTTCGTTATGGTCAGAACAAACAGTGGATCATTTTACAAATCTGAATTAGAACATTAAAAACATCACTGAGAAATTGACAGTAAATATGCAGGAAAATTTAGTAAAATCTTTTTTTCCTGTCAGTTTTCCGCAACAAAATAATAGAATTTTCAATAGAAATAGTGCTTATTTGTTCATAATTCAAATGAATATTGCGATAATTATCATTTTTGTTTTATTGCACGGCCTAGTTTCAGCTTTTCAAATATAGATATGTTCTGGTTCAGCTCTGAATCTGAGAACATCTCTTGTATAATATTTCAGCACTTCATGAATCAGCCTGTTTGAAGAAGAGTTCACAATTTGAAAGAGCCTCTTAATTTCTCATTTATGGGGCCAAGCTAAAAAAAAACACAACCCGCAAACTCGGTTATCTACCAGAAAGGATGCAGAGGAAAGAACTGATAACTCAAACAATCTGCACCATATATACAGCTCACGTTTGAGGACATATAAACTCGGCTATGAAAGGTTTTCTGACACACAGAGTCTGGCTGGATGTTGTTTCAGCCTGCAGTCAGTGTGTACTGAGCTTCGACTGCAGAGCTCAGCGCTGCCAAAATTCCTGCTGGTGTTGAAGTGAGCTCAGTGTGCGGAGGAGGCTTTTACTGGCTTAAAGAAGTCTTTCAAGTAGTGAAGATGTAGCATACTTACTGCAAACAGTGTTATTTGGAGCAGATGTAATAAATATTGTGTTAACTACTGAACCTCCTTAAAATATGTATAATTGTATCATATTTTCTGCAAATGTTTGTAAAGTCACTTATTTGTAAATTGAAGAAATGAGAAGACCTCTGACTACAAATTGAGTTTAGTCAAAACAATTGGGCTTTTCTCAGTGAGCAGCATCGATGTCGTGTAAATTAATACCACAAACAAAATAGTGTCCAGGTTCTGTTCCCACTTGTTTTTATATAAAAGCTCTACTTCTTGTTCTTTGCTGGCCCTTTTTTGTACAACCAACGCAGCAGAACCTTCCTATTGAGACAGCAGCGATAACGAGGCGTCTTCTTCTGTTTCCATCCTTTATCTGTTATGTTGCCAGAGTCACAGAAAAAGTTGGTAGAAGTCGTCGGACACTGTAGCTTTCACCAGTGAAATTAGTGTTTTTAGAAATTAATTTTATTCCTGTAAAGCAGAGGTCCCCAGTTCTGCCCGTCAGTGACATTACTAGATGACAGTTTAAACAATCACCTACTCAATAAATGTCCTCGAACACCACTGCTCATTTTTCCTGAAGCTTAATACGTCTTATATTATACTAGCTACATATTTAAGGCATGGTTGCAATAATGAACACAGCAGGAAAGCCTGTTAATTATACAGATGTATGTTATTTCCTGTATTTGTGATCTCTTTGACCTCTTTGACCTCTTTTGAACAGTTTTTGTATCTGTAAAACTCTCATCCTCCACGTGATGTCTTGGCACCTGCTCGTATTGTTGGTAAAACTGTCTCAGGTTAATGTAAACGTCCCGATGTCTGATTTTTGTGTGCTACGTTGGACTAACAACCCTCTGCCCGCTCTCGTGTTTCTTCCAGAATACGCTCAGGTGATCAAAATGCTGGGGAACGGACGTCTGGAGGCCATGTGCTTTGATGGCACCAAGCGGCTTTGCCACATCAGAGGAAAACTCCGGAAAAAGGTAGGAACGTCCTGACCGTCCTCTCGCACCTTTGCGTACACAGGAAACCCCCTGACGTAATGCTGAATCGGCGTGTTCTCAATGGTCAGTCAGCCGTCGTTGATGTGGCAGCGTGCACTCAGTTGACTGTGTGTGTGTGTGTGAGGGTCACAAAGTGCAGTGTGCTGCTGTATGACACGGGGTAATCTCTGCTCTGTTTGGTTTCCCTCTAGGTTTGGATCAACACGTCAGACATCATCCTGGTCGGACTGAGAGATTACCAGGTGTGTTGGTCGCTCGCACGTGATCCAGATAAGACCGTTAAACGCTGACCGACCCCCTCACTCTGAGGTCACGGCGCCGCTCTTGTTGCTGCCTTCAGAAATATAAGCAGCAACTCTTTAGAGATCTTTTTTTTTTTTGTGCTCTGAATTGGAAGAAGCAACCGTTACTGACAGACAAAATTATTAATCATATAATATATCACATATATATAGATAGCCACTATGGCTTACCTGCAAACACTCACTTTTAAAATCGGCTTTTAATAAAATTGCATTATTTTATAAATTCTGGATTAGATTATTTTCATTGTATTTTATACTGTTTCACAAACTAGCAGCTATGTACAAACCAGCTGTTTTCTAACGTTAACGTAGCTATCCTTTTAGCTAGGCAGTGTTGGGCAGATTTGTGCAGCGGTGTTAATGATACTAACCTTTCACTTTACAGACGGGTCTGTTGTCAATGTGTTTGTGGTTAACTGGCACAAATAAATCAATATATGGGAAACACTGGATTAGTTGTTTGGGCTATAAAATGTCGAACAGTGTTTCCCAAAGCTCAAGATGACGTCCTCAAATGTCTTTTGTCCACAACACACAGATGTTCAGTTTACTGTCACAGAGAAGGAAAGAAACCAGAAAATATTCACATTTAAGAAGCTGGAATCAAAATTTTTCTTAACCGATTAATCAGTTTAAATCATTAATCCAAGAAGTTGGCCATTTATTTAATAACTTTTGATTAATCATTGCAGCACTACATACAGGTTCTGTATTCGTCTCTGTCACTAAAACACTCGGAAGTGTGAACTAAACACTTAAACACCGTCTCATAGCTCAACTTCTGTTTCAGGACAACAAAGCTGACGTCATCCTGAAGTACAACGCAGACGAGGCTCGCAGTTTGAAAGCCTACGGAGAGCTGCCAGAGCACGGTGAGTTAAACATCACACGTCACGCCAACAGCACCGCAGACTGAACGTCACTGTAGTGAAACAAGGGCAGGAGTTTATTTACAGTGAACGCTATTTATTCAGCTCGCACAGGTGAGACTGTGGCGTTTCCTTCAGTCCAAACCTCCGTGTTCGTTGTTTGTAACGAGCAGCTTTATTCTTCAGTGATGGTGGAATCGGTGAAATAATGTCTTTACACAGCCGACGTCCTCACATTCCTGACCATTATTACAACCTTTCATGCAGTATTTAACTTTCTTTTTACTTTCAGATCATCTCAGTGTAGTAGAAACAGCGTTTGTCTGATTCGTGAACATGTTTTAGTAATAATTTTTTTCTTCTCGCAGCCAAAATCAATGAGACAGACACCTTCGGGCCCGGAGACGACGAAGACATCCAGTTCGACGACATTGGCGATGATGATGAGGACATTGATGATGTAAGCTGCTTTTTATTCTTATCAACTTTTACCTCCTGAGTTCAGTTCATGGAAGCAGGGCTCACTATCTTTTTTTTGAATATCATTGCCGGTACATCAAGAACTTAAAAGTGTTTTACTTTCATAAATGTACTTTCGAAATAAGCCAAAATCTTTGCCTAAATCAACTGTGGTCTAAAATCCACATCTTCTTTTTATTTAAGTATATGTTATAAAATGATTTAAACAAGAATTTATTTTAATACGCTGTGCTACAGACACATTTCATCAGGATTTTATCGATACTCTTTAAAGGGCTAATCGATATGCAAAAACATTGCAGTTATTTTGACACATTGAGTCATGATTCCTGTGGGGGTGGTAATCTTTGCCAGTGATTTTCACTGAAAATAAATATATAAGAATGAAGTGATTTTGGGGTTCTGTGCCAAACAAGCATGTTCCTTAGATCTGGAGAATAATTTGTAGGCCAGGCGTTCATGCTTCTTCTATAAATGGATGTTGTGACACATTTGACCTCCTTTTATCCAAAAAATTGCAGCTCCTGTGGTTCTGATAATATAATCATCTTTATTGACAAGCAGGTTTACACATACAAGGAATTTGCACTGGTAATTTTGGTGCGTAACAATAAACATAGTCCCTCCAGGATTTCGCAGACCTTTTTGTGATTGTTGCAGTCGAACATGCCTGATTTTATACATAAACCAGCTTACCTTGATTCTTTTTAGTGCAACAGCCTGTGTGACAACATACAGACATGTTTCCATCCAATTATCATGCGAATAAAAAAAAAACAAAGGTAAATGCGAAGTCTGTGCGTTTCCATCAGCTGGTTTGAAGCGAATAAACCAGCAAGTGTAGTTACGTCAGTAGTTGACGTTACACATGGCTGTAATAAACAAAACGTATGGGTTCCAAACCAGAAACAAAACCAGTCGCATGAATCTGATGGTCATTGATCTTAGAAAAATGGAGAGAGGTTCTCAGAAATGTGTTTCAAGCGGGCAAATTGCTACCAGCCATGTCCCCGCATGTAATTTGGAATATCTGGTAAGACGCAGACAGCGGAAACAGCTGACCAGACGTGAGTTACACGTTCGCTACGTCAGCTCTTATTCAGCCAAAGTGTTTTGAAACAGTTTTGGCGTTTTTTTTCATTAGCAGTACCAGCTCTACTCGACTCGGTTTGGTCGTGCTCTTGTTTTCCATTGCGGATAGTGTAGCTGGTCGTCATAGCGAGGCCACACACAACTGCCGCAACGTAATTTTCAATACGACCCACAGCTGTCTCTTGATTTAAATTAAAACGTTTCAACATTCCTCAGAATGTAAAGACAGATAAGCGGTATGAAAACCTGTGTTTTCCTCTGCCGTTGTTGCTTCAGCGGTCTGTGTGACGGCGGGAGCAGAGGGCTCTGTGAGCGGGCGGCTGGCCGGCCTTGCGAGCTCTCCCTCGCCGCCACTTGCGGAGCTCCTCAACTTTTCCCCAATGGAAAACCAAACAAAGGCGAATCGAGCTGGTACTCTGCAGTGGAAAAAGGGGCTTTTCACTACAGACAGACGGCTCTCAAATCCGCTTGTTTGTAACAATTGGCTGTTAGCCCAGCTAGCGCGATGAGCTTGTCAGACACAGCAGTGGTGGATGAGAGACCGCGGACAGAGCAGATGAAAGCTGTGCTTGTTGAACAGGTGTATTGATGTAATTATTGGTTTTATTTCATTTACTTAAGTAAGGATTATACTTTTCGACAGTCCCGTTTTTTTTCTGAAGCATATTTGAGGCTTTAAAGTGAGCGTAGTCATCATCAACTGGAGTAATCTTCATCACTTCACCCGGTTCACTTCTCCACCGCGGCCTTTCTGCTCTGCTTTGTCTGACTTTGCTGTGTGTGGAGGAGCTCAGCCCCGACCATTGACCGTATATAAAGATGGACGACATGACGGCTCCCAGTAAAGTGCCGAAGATCCAAAACATCTCGACCGCGCCCTGCATGTTTGTGGAAGGGACATGGGCCCAAACGTGGTTCTGCCTCTCATCAGGCTGACGTTTGTTTGTCATTAGTTATTTGATGCTATAAAAAGGGGGGTTTCACGTCATGATTGACAGCTGAGCCCTGCTGGCTATGTGGGCGGGACTTCAATAACATGGCTCCAACCCCGATCATTACTGCACAGCCTCAAAGTGACGTCACCAGCGTCCTGTCCCAAGATATTTTGGCTTACAGTGTGAGGAAGTCTGTGGGACCGGGCAAAGGGTTTTGGTCCCCTAATCATGCTCAAATAATTATTCTATTCATCTTTTATTAATTGTTTTGATCATTGAATGCAATAATTTTCCTTCAAAGCACAACATGATTTGTTAAAAGGGCAGAAAGAAAGTTTAAATAATTCTGTTTTCTCTCTTTTCCAGATCTAAAGACGTGCGACAAGAGGGGGGAAGCTGGGATTTTACTCGAGATGAACAGATACGCCGCACCAATAATGATTATTTTTTATTAAGATCAGCCTATGCCAATCCAATACAGTTTATTAATATACAGTGTGTTTCAATTTGTTAGTTTTTTTTCAACCATCAGTAGACATCTGTGTTTTTTGGAGAACTCTAAGTGCATTTCAAGGTGGAAAAAAAAAAAAAAAACATCAGTACTTTCAGTTTATTGTGAACATGAATGATGCCGCTTTAGCGAGACTCTCATGTCTCACTCGTAGCATCTGGAGGGCGAAGCAGCAGGCTGCCAGACAGTTTGCTCGCAGTTGGATTGGAGGCTGATCACCAGCATCACATCTAGGGTGAATATCTGGAGCACCGCTTAGATTTTCACCTATTTTTTTTTGCTTCTAACATCAACAGAATGGCAAATTTGCCATCTCATTCAGAGGTTTTCTTTCTTTATTTTAAATTCTTTCTGTATTTTGGTGTAAAGGAACTCTCGCTTGATTATTTAGAGGCTCAGGCCGACACCATGACTGCAAAATATCTCTCACCGCGTCCTCTTTTTAACAAGAAATGTATTTATATTGATTTCACGCTACGTGGAATCTGAAGTACAGAATCTCTGGATTCACTAATAAAAAAGATAAACCATTTTGTTTTTTTGTTTTCATTTGGCGGTCGTGTGTTATTGTAGCCTGCGAGACAGTTTATAAAGTTTTCTGACAGTTTAAAAGCTGTTTTATTAATAACAGAAGAAAGATAACAACACTTGAGTATGCCTCTGTATCCTTTTTGTTTACGTCATATAACAATGAACTCGTTCGGGGTTGAACCATGCCTCCCCAGACATTTAAGAAGACTCAAAATGTATTTTTCTATAGTTTCCCTTATTTGTGTTTCCGTCTGTTTTTGTTTCCATGTTCTGTTTGAACTCTTGGCTGCTCGTTCTGTGGCTTCATCTCACGGTGAAGCTTCGGCCCGGTCGGCCTCTCTGTCTCATGCTAGACCGGCGGTTCCCAAATCTTTCAGACTGTAATACCTCAGATCAGCTCAGAGCACACGTTCTCTGACCCTCTACGAAATCTAATAAGTGATATATATAGTACTTTATGCTCCCCCACCCCCCTCCTCTGGAAACTCCACGTGTTTTCCCTGAGGAGGCCTAGCACCTCAGTTTGGGAACCACTGCTCTAGACCACATGGGACCTGTTGCTGCTGTTGCTGTAACTCTGACTTAATAAAAAAAAATGTACCATGATGTTTGAAGGCTGGGTTTCCAATAAAGATCTTAACTCCACTGACCTGGCATAGTGATTTTTGAGCGCCACACGCACTTCCTGCGCCGGTCTGAAGGTGGCGAGTTTGAGTTTAAAGTAGAAGGAGCTCTCGTGGTGGAACATCCAGGGCTTGAATCATCAGAGGAAGACAGACATTTAGGAGCAGGAGTCTGCAGTTAATCCAGGGTCACTCTGTATCTGATCTCTGACCCGTCTGCTGTGTTTGTGTTTTGACTTTATTATCATATGTTTGTCTGGTTTTCTTTCCCAAAACATGCACGTGTCCTGGATTCTCCCAACACAAGACCTTGAAAGTTCTTGACAAGCAGGAAAAATTGCACGTTTTAAATTCGATTATCTTCGTTGTTTGTTTTTTTTTAAATGCTATATCTGCTGAGAAATTAACCCAAAATATTGTAATTCAGCTCTTTAAAAGTTTTTTATTAGACCCACTTTCTTTCTAATCACTGAATTATTTTTACGAAGGTTGCAAACACCTTCAGACTTTAAATGTTTAATCAAAAGATTGTGTCTTTGTCTTCATTCAATATTATGTTGATTGTTCATTACGGCTACATTTAAAACGTTGCTTTAAGGAAGATGCATTGACAATATAAAATATAATGGGCGGGAATAAGACTAACCTGAAACGGATATGACATTAAATTCAGTTGGAAAACCTTCTGTGTTGTCATGGCCACAAAACTGATTAAACAATTCTTGGATATGTTCTCTTTCTGTGACCTTTGGTCGAGCTGACAGGTTAGCTGTTAAAAAAAAAAAAACTGGCATCTCTTGAAAACTGTGTAGGTGCCAAATATTGTTATCAATTGTACAGTGAGTTGTGGTATATGGAAGTATTTACATTTATCTGACGCTTTTGTCCAAAGCGACTTACAATTGCTATACAGTCACTGAGTGTCTTGCTCAGGGACACAATAGTGGCTCACAGTGGGAATCGAACCAAAGGCAAGCGTCTTATCTATGCGCCATCACCACCCAAGTAATAGTAGATGTACTCAGATCCTTTCCTATAAAGTAAAAGTACTAATATCATGTGGAAATACTTTTTTACAAGAAAAAGTCCTCTATTCAAACAAAAGTACTAGCATGAAAACAAATTATAAAAAGTAAAAGTACTCCTGCAGAATGACCCATTTGAGAACAATATATTATATTGAATTATAATCATTGATGCATATCACTTTAATGTTGCTGCTTACTGTGGGGCAGCTTGTGAATTTAGGATCAACAAAATATAATCATTATCTGTAGTTTCGCTCTGAGATGTTGGGGAGCAGAAGTATAAAGTAACAGAAAATGTACCTCAAAATTGGGTAGGTGAAAGTACAGTAGGCTTCTTGATTAAATGTACTTTCACCAAAGTCAACTGTCAATGTACATTTTCATAGTATAAATAAACAATTTTTTATTGCAGATGAATATATTCTGCCTAATTAAGGTGTACTGGACTGGATTTTTGTTTTTACAGATTCAGTCTGTGGTCATGACTCATTTAATACAGTTATCATTAGTAACGCGTCGTTTTTTATAGAGCTGACTCGGCACACCTGCGCGCGTGCGAGCAGCACTGACCCATATTGCACGTCCAGAGCAGCCAGCCTCACTTTGACACAAGTATGACGTAATGGCGCCGCTGGGGCTCGCTTGTGCCCGTCACGTGCGCTCTCTGAGCCAAGACGCTGCACAAGCGGTGAGACACGTGAGAGGAAGAGACACGACAATTAGGCCTTCGCATTTAATGAAGCTGTTTTTTTTTTTTATTGTATCTTTACTCGACAGTCGCTTTTGGTCCTTTCGCCGAGATGTTGTGCAGCATCACTACCTGGTTGCTAGGCGACGCATAAGGCGTTTTTTTTCTCCCCGGCGCATTAATATGTAAATTAGCCAACTATGAAGCGGCCACAGGTTAAAGAGCCAACGTGTATAAATGAATGCGAGGACACATTCATTTATTTCTTCCAACGTAAATGACTTTTAATCACTCTAATAATATTGTTTCTTCCCTCCTGTATGTTATCTCTTGAGGTATGTGAGTATGAAAGCATAGACCCAAACGTTGATTCTTTTGCGCCTTTAATTTAACTTTCAAATGGCTACACTAATATTGGCCGTGATACAGTTTTATCTGAGCGCACAGTGAACACAAAGTCATAGCTGCAACATATAGTGCTCAGATATCTGACCACCCCCCCTCCTCCCCTCCTCGCCTCCTCGCCTCGCAACCTCCCTGCATCGTGTTTTCTTCCATCTCCTCCTGAGTCATTGTGTTTGCACCGGCGCTCCTGTTTTTCACCGGGTTTCTGGATCCTGTCAGGTCTCTGCTGAACATTTTCGACGACCTTTGAAATGACCGAAGTGGCTTCAAGCCGCCCTGAGATGACTGGTAAGGAAAATATGCGCTCGATGATCCATTTAGGTTATTCCCAGTAGCATAAATGTCTAAGACTGGCTGTTTAATCCTCTTGCACACACAGATGTATCGGCTACACCTAATTTGCAACGAGATGCATCAGCCCTAACTACCAAAATAAGTGTTAATATATGAGTTTTAAGTTGTTGCTAAGACTGAAATAATGACTTTACCTTTAAAGAGGCAGCCAGGTTCACCACATATTAAGACTTCTTGATGTCATGCTATGCTTTGCGCTTAATATTTTAAAGAATAATGTCACCAATAAAATGGTTGAGGTAGGTTTGTAGCAATGCACACAGACTGATGACTGATGACTGTTACTGCCACATTACTGCCACATTATCAGCATAGTTTCACATGTAAGACTGATATGTAGCCTTTGAAAAACCTATTGCAGTGTAGGAATTTATATTTATATAAATCTGTAATACATGTCAGAATATATAAATACATTCATGGTGCTGCGTTTCATATAGCCTTTCTGAATCATTAAGAAATTGGGGATGTGTGGTCAGTAAATTTTATAGACCTGCAGTATATTCTTAATGTTGGCATTTGTGTTCCATTGCATCCCTGTTTTCTGACTGACAGGCTGCTAAATGTTTTTAGGGATGCACCTTAAATCATAAATCTGTTCCTTTAGAGATTGATTGCAGCAGCTTCTTATCAGCATGGTGATCTTATATCACATGCCTCAACTGAAAGAGGCTGTTATGCCTTTAAAACACGTAATTCTGCAGATTTTATTTATTTATTTATTTAATTATTTAATTTTTATTTTTTGCACGTGATGTCATCTTGAGTGAAGACAAGCAGATCTGGGACACTAGGGTATTTGCATGTATTTGCATATCTAATAACTGTGTGTTTACGTGCTGAGAGGACTCTTGTGTGTGTGTGAGCAGACGCTGGTCGATAGTTGTCCTCTGGCAGCCTTCATGTCAGGGTGACAGATTAAGAATTGAAAACATAACAGGAAGAAGGCTGAAGGTTACTTTCAGGGCTCCTACACTGACACCTGACCCCACAGGTGATGCGGTGACTGACAGGAGATTTATTGCGCTTGGGAGTATACATGATTGTGTTGGAGTCCCATCCATCCTGACAGACGCAGGCAGGGGTCACGTTCACCACTTCAGCTTTATGTTTTTGGCTGTATTTGGCCAGTGAAGCGTGAATCACGTCTGACTGTTCTCTCCAAAACACAGCGCTGGCGCCGCCTCCTGCACCGCTGATGTCCAATAGGAATGCGTCTCCTGCTCGATCACCATCCAGCCACAGCAGCCCTCCAGGTGAACTTCAGATCACACACTTTAATGTGCTTCTATTGTCTTAATAATCAAGCGCAGAGCACACTGAAAATATATCAGTATCAAGTGGCCAAGCTGCATGTATCTCTGGCTCCACGTCTATTAATAATCTTCTCTTATATTTGTATATATAATACATGTTTCTGTCACAATGTTTTCATGTTTTATAACCTGGAGTTGTTGTGAGAAAATACTTCTTATTTCAGTGTATTATGTATCGTTAAAATAACCAATGAACTTGTACTTAAACTCAAGTCTGAGGTACTTGTACTTTACTTGAGTCTTTTCTTTTCATGCCACTTTTTTCTCCACCACATCTCAAGGCAAATAATTATTTGACACCTTTAGTAACCTCATCCTGAAAACCATGGATCTCCAAATGTGGTGAATGCTTGTGATAAACTGAAGGATGAAGAGTTCCTTTATGTGTTGAGGAAATCCTCCTTCAGCTAACTCAACTACTTAAACCCTTGTTTGATCAGAGGGTAAATGCTTTGTTGCAAAACTGAAAACAGACTATTATAGATATTACATTTATTTATTTAGCTGATGATTTTTATCCAAAGCAACTTACAATTGCTATACATGTCAGAGGTGGAGCAACTACGGGTTAAGTGTCTTTCTCAGAGACACATGGATGCATATGTGTCATTTGAACTGGGGACGCTGGGGACAGCGCGACCCTGTATGCAGGATAAGCGGTTGACGATGGATGGATGGATGGATGGATGGACGCTGGGGACATGTCCCCACCACTTTTTGAAAGCATTTGCTAAAAGTTTTCTGAAAATTTGCTTGCAACAAGAAATGTTAAATAGCAAATAAAAATCCCATTTGAAAGGTTTACTTGCACAATATGAATACATGAATAAAATGCAATGTAAACATTATGTTTCCCTTCATATAAATAAAGACATTTCCACCATAAATTGGTGCAAAAAATGCTCTTACAGGACAGCATTGTTGTAGATTGAACTACCTAACAGGATATAAAGGCGTGAAAATGAACTCAACCTTCGACATCAGTAAAATGCCACATACACATTAATATTTATCCGGAAACACTTTACTGATCTATGAGGGGAAATTCCTAACATTAAAGGATGTTGATTGGCAGTGGTGGGATTTGAACCCACGCCTCCAGAGAGACTGGAGCCTAAATCCAGCGCCTTAGACCACTTGGCCACACTACCTGACAATAACAAGTCCAGACTGGAAACTAGCATGAGTACTTTTACTTCAAGCTTATAACACATACTTTTTTTAAAATAAGGTTTTGAAAGCAGGACTTTACCAGTAGTGGAGTATTTTCACAGTGTAGTAATATCACTTTTACTTAGGTAAAGAGTTTGAATACTTCTTCCACCACTGAAAGCACCCCTGAAAATAAAACATATGTACAACTTGCAGGCAGCTGAATTAATTTCTTAATTATTCTTTCACCTGTCTCAAGGCTCTCGGCTGAATTTAGCAAAAGAGCGACGGGAGGACAGAGAGAAGACACAAGGTATGAGTAACTGTCCAGCTGGTGGAGCTCTGCGTGGTGTGTCCTGTTCATCTGTCGCTGACGTGTGTGTATGTGTGTGTGTGCTCGCTTGTGATGGCGGAGATATTCAGATCCTTTACTGTAGTGAAAATGTCAGTACCTCAGTGAATAAAATACTCAATAACCAAAGTCCTACATTTAAATATTAACTTGAGAAAAAGTGTATCTCAAATATAAAAACTCATTGTTGGGCGTCGAGTTGAGCGAGTTCTGCCAGCTGCTGTTTTCAAAGAATGAAATGTCAAACTGAACAAGCGTCTGTAGTTTTACTGCAGACACCCTGAACTGCTTGATGTAGATTCTCTCAGCCCTTTAACTTCAAATAACCGCTCAACTGTGAGGAGTCTTGGTGTTGTATTGGATAGTGCGTTTAAATTTGATAAACAGATACCCGCCTCTATTAGATCCTGCTTTTTCCAGTTGAGAACTATAGCCAAGGTAAAGGCCTATCTCCCTCCTAAAGATATAGAGAGGGTGATTAATGCCTTTATAACTTCCCGCCTTGACTATTGCAACTCCTTTTATGTGGGCTTAGACAAGTCATCTATTCAGCGCCTGCAGTTAGTCCAAAATGCTGCTGCCGCCTCCTGACAGGAAAGAAGAAGAGGGACCACATCACACCTGTGCTGCTCTCCCTCCTCTGGCTTCCTGCTCATTACAAGATTGATTTTAAAATCTTACTTTTAACATTTAAATGCCTTAATGGACTGGCTCCATTGTACTTAACAAAGCTTCTTCATGTTCATACTGCAGCTAGAGTGCTGACATCCGCCAATCTCCTCCTCCTGGATGCACCCAGAAGCAGACTTAAAACCAGCGAGGCGATCGAGCCTTTAGTGTAGCTGCCGCTAACCTGTGGAACAACCTGCCAGTCCAGATCAGAACCGCCTCCACTCTTGAACGTTTTAAATTATTATTATTCCTGGCAATTTTAATATCCATATATATCTTATACCGTATATTATAATGTTTTATTGCATTACTTTTACTGTGTAAGTAGTGTCTTGTTGTTGTATTTTAGCCTGTGAAGCACCTTGGTCAACCTTGGTTGTTTTAAGTGTGCTATATAAATAAAATTGATATTGATACTGAATTTCAGGCTTTCAGGTCAGTTAAAGAAGGAAAGGAAGCACAGAAGGAACAAGACATAAAGAAAGAAAGAAATATAACTAAAAAAGGAAGGGAAAAAAAGAAACGTTCTCTAACTTTCTCCAGGTAATGTCTTGGATAAGAGTGAAAAACATGATCTCATCAAAGATAAACCTGAATATGTTTTTTTTCCCACCACTTTTATTCATGATGGTAATTTCTAAAAGTTAATGTGCTTAGTTGTTTTTCAGAGAACCTGAAAAGTCAACATAGAGTTGACATGAGACCCGCGGATTAAGGTTCACGATCAGCACCTGAAGGCCAATTTATACTTCTGTGTCGAATCCACACCGTAGATACGCAGTAGCCTACATGTAGCCTGATGCACACCTTCCCAAAAATGTAACTACATGTTGTGGCGACGCAGACCAAGAACTGTGCTTCCAATTCCTTCTGTCTTTACTGCGTTTTAGTATTTTCACCCTAAAGTAGCTGCTGTTCAACATTAATCAGCTTCATTTACATTACATTTTACTCTTTTGGTTTCAGAGTGGTGAGTTATTAATCTGCAATAAAAGTATCTTTCATCCATAAAGTTTTAACTGAGCTCTGTCTCTACATCACAGGAACAACTTTATGTCCATTGACTGCCTGGAGGGTAGCTAGTGTTTGGGAGGGAGAGGAGAGCTGTGTGCTGCAGCTCACTGTTTTTGAGTAGCCGCTTGGCGTGCGTTATATGAGATGCATTTAGCTTTCATCCCTGTGACGTCACAGGGATGAAAGGGAAACGGCTGGACTACAAACGAGCTGTTTTCAGGCAGTTCAGAGCAGAGTTTTCTGTGGGAGATGGGAAGTCCCTTTGTGCTGGACTTTGGGCTTTTTCACTACAAACCTATTACATGCACAAAATAAATAAATAACTCAATAAAGGAAAGGAGGCCAAAAAGCATAATACCACCTCTTTAAAGTATCAAAAGTAAAAGTACTCGCTATGCAAAATGGCCCCTTTAATAGTGTTCTGTTATGGAGCCTTCAATGTCCCGAAGACACACAGTTAACATTGTGTGCAAGACATAACAAAATGTTTAGGGACTCTCCTGCTGGTTTTACTGTGAGGCATTTTACAACTTCATTATTCTTAGAAGTACATCATAACCTCACATAAATCACAGCAGAGCTTTGTTCAACTCCGACCTGAGCAGCTCTAATCAGCAACACAACTGAAAACACCTGGGATGGTATGAGGGGCCTTTAATCTATAACAACACATCGTGGTCAATACGTTGGTCATATGTTCTGCATATAGAATCAAAGTAACTATAAAAGTAGAGTAAAAGTATAAAGCAGCATAAGATGGATAAAGTATAAGACGTTCACAATTGTACTTCTGTACAGTCCTGGATTAAATGTGCTCCTCTGGCGCTTGTGTGTGTTCAGAGATGTCGGAGGTGCTGCAGGATAAGGAGCGTCGTGCGCAGCAGCAGCTGGAGCGCTGCGCCGAGGAGCGAGGGAGGAAGATGGAGGAGCAGAGGAGGAAGGAGCAGCAGCGCAGGGCAGCAGCCGAGGAGAAGAGACGGCAGCAGCAGGAGGTGGAGAAGGTCAGAGGTCACAGCACACTGTCATCCGCTGACTTTATATTTTTGCAGTTAAATATTCAAACTGTAGAGTCCAGAAGCTGTTTGGTTGTTTGGTTGTCTTAATTGTTTTACAGAGTCTCTTAAACACTATAAACCATAAAAGCTGGACAAGAGGTATAAAATTAACCAAATGCTATACTGATCCAAGAATAATTAAACTAGAAACAATGAACAAGTGTCACAACTTGTTTTTTTTGGCCATTTTCAGTGACACGATACAATTAAAATATATTGAGATTCAAAACCCAGACACGTTTGTTAAAGCTCACAAATCCAATTCCAATAACTTGCTTACTAATTTGTAAATGAAATTAATGATATTAGACTGAATATAACTGAGAAATTAGATTGTTGATAGACTTCATCTGCACGTTTGAAGTCGTTTTGCTTCCTGTTGCCACATTTTGCAGGCTTATTTGAATGTTTTTGCAGCAGTAAAGAAATATCACACTATTAACATAAATGTGTTTAAGATATCAAAAAATATGTGTGTGTGTGTATATATAGAAATCTTAAATCTTAAACTTAAACACAACATAATTTTGGTACAATACAACTGACGGTAGAGAAAGAAAAGTGAATTATCACTCCTAAAACAAGTTGCCAACTCAGAAATGAACCAAAATAGATATTAATAAATTAGTTAAACCCTTTTAATAATCTGTGTTAGTCCCTTTTGTCCGACCAGCACTCCCTGGATGACTTTTGGTCTAATTTTTCGCTGTGATGAAAATCACCATTCATCGCTCTCTCTATTTTTTCTCTCTATGCCACTGAATTAACGATGTCGATCCATAACCCAGTCAGTGCATTTCCAGCAGTTGTTCGGCCGAACTACAGTTTGAGGGAACAGCAAGTAATTAATGCCGAAGCTTTAATGACTTTGTGTCAGCTGACCAATTGTGCGCATTCAACTGAAGCACGTTTGGCTGGTTTTCTGCGTCAGTACACGGCCACTGAATTAATTTTATATCCCGGGAGACACCGACGTAGCTGCAGTGGGAACGTGCTGTGAATGGTGTGTTCTCAAACCCATCTTGCCCAATCCTCGTTGCCACAACAGATAGACATCCTGGTATATATATATATCATAGGAAACCATCAGGAGAGAGGGGGTCCATGTATGGAAAAAAAAGATTACAACAATACAAATAGATAACCTACCTCAGCCAATGTTTCAAACAGGATCCTGAACTCTACCTTGAATTCAAAACATATTCTCATTTTAAAGATCTAGTTGTTAATGGATGGGGGGTGTTATAGTATACAGTGTGAACTGCAGCCTGTTAGCAGAGCAGCAGCTTCAGGATGTGTTCATGTACACTATTGAGTGTTTATGCGCGTACTATTTCAAACGTGAGCCTGTGCAGACAGCTGGATAGACTAAAATAGAAGCTAGACTTTTCCATCAGATGCACGTGAGACGTAGTCCCGGCGTCAGAGAGGATTTGTTGGGTTATGAGATTGTTCATGGTTAGGGGCTGTTTCTCACCACTCTGCGTGAGTCATGAGTGGGCATCACTTGGCTGAGAAGAACCACTGACTCGTAATATTAGAATCCGTTTTAGAGTCCAGCATGAATTATCAGCTGTGTGATAACCCTTTCAGCTCCACCTTCGGTATGAATTATTAGTGCCTGTTGAAATGCTAAGCAGCACATGAAGGGTTAACAAGCCCAGAGTCCACAGGGAGTTCACCGCTCAGAGGGGTGGGGGGGTTCATGGTCTCTATTGATTTAAGGCTTCTGTTTGCATCACCCCAACCCCACCACCTCCACACACTCATATGCATAACGTAATGACATAATGATTGGCCAGTCTCATGGGGCGATGACATCACTGTCAGCGTATCATGTGCCATTTACTGGAACAGACGGTCAATGCTGGCAGTGCTGCGATAAGCACATATTTCACCTCTGAAAAGGAAACGACATATACAGAAATCAATGAGCTTTAGAGAAAAGGACAGAAAAAAGGTATCATTTAGAATTATGTTTTTTATTGTACGTGTTTACTGTACTAAAGCTTAATAAAACTACTTTAGTTTGTTTGCCCTATGTGACGTGTTTAAATAATTTGTTTTGCCTGATTAACAGTCTGAAACACAAACACATTCAATATACAAAGATGCGAAAAAGGGAAAAGAAGCAACTCCTCTGGAGGAACCAGATAATATTTGGCATCGAACAGTTAATCCATTATCAAAATTACTAAAGATTAATATTCTGTCGGTCTGTTATGAAGTAGCTAAGACAACATGTACTCCTTTTACTGCAGTATTCTACTCTGCGTACTTGTATAGTGATACTTAGATCGGTATTTTCCTTATCAATTAATCAATTAATTGTTTTTAAAAACATGTAAATCTAAATTTCTCAGACCTGAAATTAATTAATTAATTAACATGACAAAGAAACACAGCAAACCCTCACACTGGAGAAGCAGCAACAAGACTGTTCAACATTTTTGCTTTGAAAAGGACTAAAACAATTAATTGATTATCAAAGTAGTAGGTTGATCAACTAATGGATTTATCTTTCAGCTCTAGATTATGGTTTTGTGGTTGTTGTAGTCCAAAATAATTACATTTACAGCAGTTTTTTCCCCATGTAAAACTTCTTCTATACACTTTTGCAAAAGAATTGCAGCAAAATTTAAAATGTAATCTCCTTTAGGTTGTTGATCATATTTGCTTTGGGATTGTTCAGGGTAATTAGCTGAATATTAGGCGTAGTGGTCAACTCTAGTTGTCCGACAGCTCACCTGGTTCCTGGTTTTTAAATGTTTTATTGTGTCAGTTTAGTAATGCGTGTGGTGTCTCTTAATACTGCAGTGTGACAGGCTTTTAATCTTTACAGGTTGCTTTATTTTACTTTATGACAAGGCACTGCAGACATAACACTGCCACATTTGCTTAGTAACTAATCTTACTATGATTCTCCTCCCTGATATAATAATATATTTTTAAAAAGGGAATAAATAAGGCGCTGACCCCTGAAGGGGACTAGCTATGCTGTACTCTATTATACTTAACCATATACATTATTATTCCATCCTATATCCAGCTCAGACTGCTCGTCCATCCTGCTTCTTCTTTGATCTATCTGCAGTTTATCTCTTTCCACTTCTACCATTCCCCGCCTCATCTTACTGCTGTCTCTTTTTTAATCCCTCTTCTTGACTCTGAGCCCCTCCTCCCGTCGTCTCTCCTCCCTCCTGCAGTTTGTGCGTGACTCTGCATGCACCTTCAGCAAACCCCCCACGACAACGCTGAGGTGGGGCATTTCCATCCTTTATATATAGACAGTATGCTGGAGCAGTGTATCAGCTTTATGTTGTGTAACTGCTGTCTGCTCAGTAACACCGCCACATTAACCGGGACGTTATTGGTTGTAAATAGAAAGCTAAAGATAGAAAGACAAACAACAAAAGAGAAACAGAGAGTTGCATCTTAATTTCTCTTTTTTGGCTTTTGCTGCAATAAAATAACGTCACATCACAGCTAGCAATCAGTACAGATGAGCTAATAATAAACTAATCAAGATATAAACAAATAATACATATAAATCTAAGTATAAAAAATTGTGCTCTATATAATAAAATTAATGTATCACAAAATATATAGCTTAAATATGTCAAAAAGAAACTTAGATGTCAAAACAAGGAGTACAGATTTCTAAAATAAAGACCGATATACATACTAGACAGCCTGTGTGCTGAAATGTGTTGGTGGTGGATGAGTTTATATTTATTAAATTCTCCATTTTAATGTTTGGAAATGGATTTTTCTGCCACATCCAAGTGAAAAAAAAAGAAGAGGCTCACTTTGAATGCCAGATGTTACTTACAGGAGACAAAAAGCCTTTGTCTTCAGCACAGCTATGCATTACAGATGTATAAACACAGGTGAATAACTTAAAGGTAATTGACATTGCGCAGATATTTACATAGTGATCAATCAACTATCACTGAAACAAAACAAAGGTGGACGTTGGGTATGTGCAGGTCTTTCAAAACATTACATTAAATCAAAATTTTTAAAAAGCCAATAGAAGCTATTCAAAAGTCAAAACCATTAAATGCTTTCTCTTCCCGGCTGTAATTTTAGTTATAAAATGTTTTTGTGTCTGATTGCAGTTACACACTTACTAAGTAAAAGATTCTTGTGATAGTGGATTGTGCTGCTAATGATTGTTTTCATTATGGATTCATCTGATGATTACTTTTTCAATTAATCGAGTGATTGTTTGTAAAAATCCAGAAAATTGGGAGAAATCTGTCACAATTAACTACTAAAATTGAATATACTAAAATTGAATAATTAAAAGTAAAATCAGCAAATCCTATATGACATTTCAAAAGCTGGAACCATGAAATGTTTTAGCATGAAAAATAACGATTCGAACTGTCAGGTGGTTTAATTTATAACAAAGCATCGTATTTTATAAGCTCTTAATTCGTAAATAAAGTAACTACTAACTAAAATGATCAAATAAATGTAGTGAAGTATAAAGCACAATGTTTGACTCTATGAAAATACTCAAGAAAAGTACAAGTACCACAAATTTGTACTTAATTACAGCGCCACTGACTGTCAGTCATAATGGACGGCTCGATTTTTGCAAAAACTTAAATGAACTTAATGAAGTATTTTTCGTTGGTTAATCAGACCGTCCATTTTCTGACGCTTACATTTGTTTGATCAATTATATCAATAGGAATTATTATTATATTCCGCTAGAAAGTACTGAAAAGATGATAATAATTCCAGACCATATTGGCCCTGCTGGGTTTCCATCATACTTTGACTGGTATGATAATGAAACAGATTTTATTTCATCTACTGTGTTATTAAAAACCCGCTGCAGTCCTGTAATGACTCATGAAATCTCTGATATTAATATATGAATAATAGATACAGTACAGTCACCAGATCTGACACTAATTAAATCGTCCACATTAGGACGGTATAAAGGAGGAAAGGACTTCTTCCTCTATCTACAACCCTGGATCTGAAGATCTTATGCAAGGAGCCGTTTATTCAACAATGAACACCTGAATCTAAAGGCAGCAAGCACAGAAGGAACGTTAGATTCATTCAAGCCACAGCCTGTCCAAGGGTGAATTCTGCATATATTTTGTTTTTTAAAGGAAAAAGACAAAATTAGTACATTTTGGAATACAAATACACACAATAAGAAGATGAGAAAATATGTAAACAGTTGATTATTTTTATATTAGTTCTGTTGTTGTTGTATTTATTTTCATGTAATTATGTTTTACAGTGTATATTATACTGTGTGTAAAAACGCGGCAGAAAAAGGAGACAAGGAAAGCACTGGATATCAAACCAGTGCAACCAGTATCAATATCTGATCCACCCAGTCAGTCAGTGTGTGTGATGGTTGCATTTTGTCCCCTCCCGTCTGATTAAACTGCTCTGTGAAATAGATTCAGTTATTAGAGAGGGAGGGAGATCGAGGCAGAGACAGACAGCGAGAGAGAGAGAGAGAGTGACAAGAGAGAGAGGGAGAGGGAGGGAGATCGAGGTAGTGAGAGAGAGAGGGAGGGAGGGAGGGAGAGATCGAGGTAGAGAGAGAGAGGGAGGGAGGGAGGGAGATCGAGGTAGAGAGAGAGAGAGAGAGAGAGAGAGAGAGAGAGAGAGGGAGGGCGTCAGTGCTACCTAGAGGGAGCAGCAGTCAGAGAGGGAGCTGCTGTATCGCTGAGTGACAGACGAGCCAGCGATCGAGCGCTGGTGACCGCCAGCAGACGAGCGTGAACAGGACGGAGGGCGAGGTTGCTGCTGCTGCTGTTGCGGTTGCATGCGGTAACCATGGCGCAGCCGTCTCCGAGCGCATCGCCGGGCGCCCGTCGCCGTAGCGATGGCTCAGTGAGAGAGTGTCTTTTCTTCCCTGTATCTGAACGCAATGAGCAGGAGAGGCTGGAGGCCCTGGTCCGCCGGAGAGCCGCAGGCGCCGAGAGACGGGGAGGAGGAGGAGGAGGAGGAGGAGGGGGGGGGGAGGCCCGGGACCACCTGGATAACAGGCCTAAACGCTGGACGTGGGGAGGACCGCCTGATGGAGTGGAGGGTGAGTAGGACGGGAGGCGGGGGATTTTGTTGATGAGGCTGTGGAGGATGAAGGAGAGCGATCGTGATAAAGTCAGTGGAGGGTTTGTTTGAGATGAGGAACAGGGGAGATCGTACGGGTGAATGCTGATGGGGGCTGGGAGGAGAGGACAGGAGAGCAGATGAAGGAGAGGTGCTTAGGGGGGGAGGAGGTCTGGAGGTCAGAGGGAGAGGAAGAGGGGGATGGTGGGATGAAAAGGGTGGGGATGACAAAGCAGAGGCTGTGGAAACAGAGCGGGTGAGGTGAGGATGGTAAGAGGAAGGTGAAGAGGAGGAGAAGTGACGGAGCTAAAGAAAGGAAGGATGGAAAAGGGTGTGGAGGCTGCAATGCAGGAGCCGCTCTGCGCTTTGTCTCTAAACCTCACCGGGGCTTCGGAGAGGCTGTGTGTGTGTTACAATATCATCTGTGTGTGAGCTGAAGCCGTGGGTATAAACTGCTGCTAGCTGATGGTTTCGGCTTGTGAATGTGCTACAGGTGCGTGTGTGTCATTGCTGTGTTGTTTTATTTCCGAGCTGGGAGGCAGGTCTAAAATCCCAGAAGAGCAGTGGTTACACATCAACCTTGAACGCACCAAGGCCGCACACATAAACACACAGCAAGGGCGACATGAAGCTGTTTTCTGTACCAACATCCGTCTTTCTGAATTTATATCTTTCTCGTTTCACATCGTCCTCGATATTTTTAAAAATATTTCTGCCGTCATGTCGGCTAGCAGGAGGCCAGAGCGCCACCAACTGAGCCTGTGGTGCATTCATAACGCCATCAATTATTAACGGGACCCACCAGCCCGGCTGTCCTGGCACCGACCTGTGACAGGGTCCACCCAGCAGCTCGTCTGGGATCTGCCCCGGGGCCCAGCAGAACGCTCACTGCAGCAGAAACAGCAGCGTCTCGTCTTACAGCTCCACTCGATCAAAGGACAGAGACGCGCTAGAGACACAAAGTGCGGCTTTGAGTGCTGCACAGTTTTATCGGGCTCCAAGGTAGTCCACTCCACAAGGTGCTGAATGCATCATGGCAGCAGTTAAAGGGATACATAGCTGACTCCTTGGTGTTCACGTGCTTTATGTTCTGGAAAATTGAAAGAAATATGGAGACAGTTGGTTGGCCAATAACAAGGTGGCCTTCCAGGCTATAAAACAACCAGCTACTTCAACATGATAGTAATGTAAATACAAGGAAACTGATGGTCAGACACTATAAACCGAACATTGTTTAAACCACCTCTAAATTCTGATGGAGAGTCTTCAGAAGAACCTAATCTGTCAGGATGAACTTTGGGGTGTTTAATGTAAGACATCTAGAATATTTGCCTTTGATGGAAAGGTGCAGCCATAATTTCTCTAGGTTTCAACATTATGGAGCTGAAACAAGCGGGCGCTGAATACACATGCTGCTGTTGGACGGTGTGAAATAAAACAATAAAACAATGCCTTTAAACGGGGTTGTGTCTTTTTTTACTTCATGGGTAAAAATCTTTTCTTTTAGCTCTGATTTCATGAGTTGTTATTTATGTGGATGTTTTTAAAAACGTCACTTTTTTAAACATTTTACTGTTACGGGACATTTTAGTTTATTTTCCTCAACTGCAAAGAGATCCAGGCCTGTATTTACAACAGACGTTTATTAGCGACAGGCCTTTTTTTGTGCGATTTCAGCCACCTTAGCAGTGTGGATGTCGGGATGGCGATGGCGATCAGTTGACCTCTTTGGTCCAAAGTGAAATATCATAACTTTTTTTATAACATTCATGATTTCTAGAAGATGAAAACTAATGGTTTTGGTGATCCTCTGACTTGTCCTTTAGCAGTAGCTCTGTCTCCCCAAAAGCTCTATTTATAACCATGCAGTTTGGTGCTGACATTCATGCTCTATATTGACCCCTAAATGCCACGCACAGCATCGCATAGACTGCACAAGTTCCTTTTGAAGGCAGCATTACGCTTGCAGCTTTTTCACTCGCTGCTTTATTGCATGATGGATCACTCTGTTCCACCACGCCAGCTTGAACCGTCCATGTTGCATTTAGACTCTTGTTTTGTCTGACGTGACAACGATTCGATATAGTCATAGCACTTCCTGCTGGGAATCTCTGTGTAGAGTTTGGTGTCGGTGTGAGTGGATGGAGGTTGTTTACCTGCTTGTGTGTCATGTGTTAGTGACCCAGGTGTGTGTACATGTGGACGTGTGAGAATGTAACGCTTTGCTTTCTCCGCTCTGCTTCACCTGCTGCCCAGGTAACCCTAAGACCCCGCCCTGCCATGCCATTGGCTCCGCTCAGCCCAATGAGCTTCCTGCTGCTTCCAGTGCCAGCCAATCCCGTAACGGTACAGACCACGTGACTCTGTGTGTGCCACGCTCATACCGCTCCCCCACCACGAATCCCGCTGTCTCACCTGCAGCTGTTCCTGCATGTGTGTGGACGTTCTTTGTACCGTCTCATCGGCTGTTTTATCGTCCTGAAGTGTGTTTTTAATGTGTGTGTGTGTCTGACGATGAATTCACTGCTGAAAACTTGCTTGAAAAATGTTCTTTATCTAATTTTTTCTCAGTATAAATGCTAAAATTTGCTTCATCGATGATGAACCGATGCTCTAACATCTTTGCATTGCGACGCAGCGACAGGGTTCCTGAAGAATTCGCCCAGGTTTCTCCTCCAAAAACTTTAAATTGTGCCGATCTAGAGGTCTTTGTGTCACACAAATTTAGAGATATCTAGCAGCATTAGATGGCATAGAAAGAGACAATCAGATGGTGAAATCACACAGATGATTTAATTTATTTTATGTAGAAATACAGGGTTTCTTGTGTCCTCTCTACAGTCTAAACCACAGATTAATGTTACTTGCAAGATTGTTGGCAGACAAATGAAAGTCTGGGCAGACTTGAAGATGAAAAAATGTCTCAAAAAAAATAAATACTGCGACTCAAAAGAGTCTTTTGCCTTCTATAACTTGTTAACCTGCTGAAGAAAATTTTTATTTGAGCTGCCAAAAAATACTTTCAAACCTGAAGCTCTGCCATTTATCTCAAGCAGACACTGTACAGTAAGTTTGCAATGTGTTGTCTGCAAAAAACACTGCTGATCAACTGATTGATGTTTACTGTGCATGTCATAGCCAATTACTGTTTAGATTTTAGTAATGGTAACTTGCTCACGCCCATACTGATGTAATTTCAAAACCAACTGCGCAGCCTGAATTACACAGAGTGTCTTTCCACATGTGTGATATTTCTGTGCGCATGAGTGGAAAAGACACATGTACAAAGATATATTGTTTGTTTTTTTAAATAACAGAGAATGATGCTGAAAAACAACAAGAAAATCCATAATAGCAAAACAGGCTCAGCTCCCCTAAAATACTTTAATTACTAAACACAAGATGAATGTTTTTAAATCAGTATAAAAAGACAATTTAAGGACCTCACTCATCACCTCATAAACACTGACAGTGTGTTTACATGTTGTGTTTGTCTGAATGTTACACAGAGAGAAACCTCAGTGCTACTGTTCATCATTTCCATCAACAGTTCACAGCACATGCTGTGTTTCCACTTCCTTTCTCCTCTCTGGCTAATTGGTGTCTGGTTTGGAGCCCCCACTACACACACACACACACACACACACACACACACACACACACACACACCCCACCCTTATCACAACAAAGGGCTGCTGCACTTCCTGTCTTCCTGGCCCAGGGCCGTGTTTAGTGATGCATACGTATGATTCTCAGCAGGGAGCCCAGTCTGTAAAACAACCCTCCCCTCCATACTCGTGCACACACACACACACACACACACACACTCATCATACCAGACATTTACCCCTCAGCTATCTGTGAAACTTGTTAGACCGTGACTACAGACAGGCATTTGCAATCAGATCAAAACGCACACACAACCTCCACCAGACATTTCCAATCATTCCTGTCCCATATTTGAGAAGCAGGCGCTGTAGAAATCCAATAAATCCTAAAAATTTCAACCCTAGAAACTTACAATTCTAATTCTAATGTAATTTGATTACCAGTTGGTTGAGAACACAGAAATGTTGTTTTATAATACAAATCAAATATTACATTAGAGCCAGGTTCTGATATCAGATGTAAAGAAGATCATCAAAAGGGAAAAGGAGCCAAGACTCCATCCAGTTACAGTAAGTCTCAAACGAGACAAACTGCTCTTAATTGTACTTTCAAGTAAAGTCAGCACAAAGACAGATCTCCTCAGCATTTCAGTCAGCATGTTTACATGCACAAGAATAAGATCAGATTACAGATAGTTTAGAGCATCAGACATTCATATAATATTACAACTAATAAAAATGGTGGTGAAAAGCCAGATTATAATAAAGTTAACATGATAAGCTGTCATGTAAGCGCCGTCTTATTTCATCAAATGTATTTTAAAAATAGAGCATAACCTGATTTACAGAGCTGGATAACTTATTTGAAGTTGGCAAGACATTAGAAAATAACACTTTATATATTTTGGGGGGCAAAAGCAAAACAGCTTTAAGGTCTACAATTTACAGACCCTGTGTTAATGTTCCTCTATTTAAGTTTCTTAAACTGAGAACAGTTAATGGATAATTTGTTTTTTTAAACATGGGCCCTATTCTCATATATTTTTGTGTTGTAATGACTAGCAGGTACTAAACATTTTGAATCAGTGCAGTAGATGGCTTCAGCCGGCACCAGTGAAATGACTGCAGTGACTGCAACATATTCCCGTGGGGTAAAATGACGTCCACAAGAAGTGCCTCTTTTCACCCCCAAGTGGCTCAGAAAGTTATACCTGGTGTATCGTGAGAGCGAGTTGTTGCAGGAAGACGACGGTGGAAATGTTAGTCAGAGTTGGAGAGAGGATTTTGTGGTGTTGGAGTGATGTTAGGAAATAAAATCTTGCCAGCAGCTCCTCTATGTACATAACAAACTCCTCTCCCTTGTTTCCCCTGTCGTCCTTCTGCAACAACTCTCACGAGATTTCCGAGCGAGAATTGTCCTTGTTTTCTGATTGGATGCCCCAGATTATTTCAGATAACAGCGTCAAACAGACAGGAAAAGTATTCAGATATCAGCTAATCAGAGTCCAGGTGCCATTCAACTCTATCAAATTGCATCACATATGATGTTATTCCATCTTCCCTGCTGTCTGTTAAACATACTAAAAGGCACAATGGAATTTGAATATAACAGAAGTAACAAATTGCCAGCTTAGCTTATTTTAGCAGAAACACTGGAAACAAGGGGAAACAGCTAGTCCGACTCCGCCTACCAGCACCTATCAAGCTCACAAATTAACACATTACATCTTCTTTTATATCTGTTTGTACTAAGCTAAGTTAAAAGACTGTTGGCTGTAGCTTCATCTTGAACGGACAGATTTGAAAGTGGTATTGATCTTCTTTTTGAAATCTCTGCCCGAAACCAAAAAAGCCCATTTCCCCAAAACCTCAATGAGAAAAGATAATATGAACTATACTGGACAAGATTATCATTTTGTAGCACTAAAAACTTGTTTCCTGTTATAACAACGGGACCCAGACATTAACCTGAATATTATCAAACACACCATTTAAGCTCTGATTTTAGGTTTAGGTTTCTTATCCCCTCTGGACGTTGTCACGGTGCCTTCAGGTGCCGTATGGAAACATTTTCCTCTCAGTTTCACGGGGCTGCTTCTGCACCATCATTCCTCCATTTCATGATGAAGCAGGTTGCAGAAAGACTCGCTGTGTCTGTCTCTGTTCTGCTGCTTCATTTCTTACATCACCAAGGTTAATTTATTCAGCAGGCTGCATGGCTTATCGATCAGCAGCATTGTTTTCTGTGTGAGCTGGCAGTTTTGTGTTTGTCGTGGGACGGGTGTTTGTTTTGAGGCGTTTATTGAACGTATTTGTGACATTTACATCATCTCTCAACACAGCAGCAGTCCGTACTTCACTTGTCATGTATGTGTCTGTGTATCTGATTTGGTTTTATTTACTTATCTTCTATTTTATTATCAGTTGTTGACTTCCTGTCTCCACCCGGGATGGATCAGATAATCAACAAGCAGCTCTCCAATTCTTCAGCCGCCCTTCATTCACCAGAGAGAGGTAAGAGAGAGAGGACGGAAATGTCCTCTGATGGCCACGCTGTACAAAAACCTAAACAAACCCACAACCTTAATTCTCCAAAAGCAAGTACTGAGGTATTTTCATTACACTGAGTATTTTTCCAAGTTATGCTATTTTATCTACTCCACTAAATCTGACAGGGAAATTAATAAATTTACCTTACAGCTTTAGTTTCTAGTTATTTTTATTATATTAACATTTTAAATAAACAAAACAAATGGCTTGTTAAAGGATCTGTGGACCAACCTTTATGGCTTGTGACCACTTATAAAAAGAACTTGTCACTGTTTTAAATGCCTGTAAGTTGTTTGCAGTTCTAACCTGTACATTTTCCCCTTAAACCTCTCAGATGCTTTCATTTTAATAACAGTTTGAGGCACAAAGAGGTTAAACGCTCCAATTTTCCTTTAAAAAAACCCCAAAGATTTGAGAAAATTATAATAGAAATATCATCTTGCAGAACGTTAGCTGTGGTCAGAGGCATGCTGTTTTCATTATTGCGATATCTCAGGAACGCTTAAGGGAATTTATTCAAATTTCATTCAAATTTCACACAAATGGCTAACAGGATAAAATAATGACATTTTAAATCCAAAAGGTCAAAGGTCAACTTCGCTGTCACATCATAATGTGAGTTTCACCTGCAGCTGATAAGAGATGCTTTGCTTCTAAAATGCCAGAAGAAAAGAAAGCACCCAGTGTTGTGTAGTATTATAATATAATACTGCCATCTGCTGGTTCGCTAGTGAATCACATTAAGCGTGTTGCAAAGAATCTTGGCGTCTGGTTCAACAGTAGTTTAAGTTCTGAGCAGAACACCACAAAGTTTCTTCAATTATGTTTTTACCAGCTTAGAAATATATCAAAAATACGATGAATGTTAACTTGTAAGGACACTGAGACCATTTTACACGCCTTCATCTCATCATATCTGGATTATTGCAACAGCCTTTTCACCTGTTTAACCCAAAAATCTATTGATCGACTCCAGACTGTCCAGAACTCAGCTGCCAGGCTTTTAACCAGAACAAAGAAATATGACCACATTACTCCTATTTTAGCTTCATTACACTGGCTCCCAGTGTGTTTTAGAATTGACTTTAAAATTCTATTGATCACTTTTAAAGCTCTTCATGGCCTCTCGCCTTGTTATATTTCTGATCTTTTAGTCCCATTCATTCATTCTTGATACCAGCTGAAGTGTCTAACAAACCAATCAATGTCAAGTACAGGGAGACGCAGCCCACGGAGATGCTGACAACAGGACGCAAGTCTGTCATGTGAAGTCCTTTAGTGCAGTCGCAGAATTGCAGTGTGAAACCAAACAAAAACTAACTGAATGTATCAAAACATGAACTTTGGTTCGGACCTTTGTGCGGACTTTCAGGTGTGAAAGCTCCTAGTCTCTCAAGTGTTTTCTTGCTTTTATCATGTGTTTTATGGTCTTTTCACTTTTTTTGAAAAGTGCTCTTTAAATAAACATTATTATTATTATTATTAACTACTAAAAGCTTTTGATTTCTAACTGGTAAAATGTATCTCGTTTGGTTAGATATGAGGCTTCACATTAGAAGGAAGAGAGTATCTCTTTCATTTGTTGTGAATATTTCTAGTTTCTAACTATCTTTGGTCTGTGTCATCGTCATGGTGTGTATTTGTGTTTGTGTTTTTGTTTAATCTGTCTCTGTGTGTTTGTGTGTGTGTGTGTGTTTTGATTCGTGACCCGTCAGTGTCTTTTGTGTCCCATCGAACAGCTTCCTCCAACAACCACAGACCAAACAGAAGTTCCTCCAACCGCAGGAGTGTCGCTGGACTCCCTGAAGCCAAAACGCCCACGGTCAGCCCTCACGCACACTAACACAGAAATGTTTGTATTACTATCTTTGTGGGGACATCTCATTGACGTAATGCTTCCCCTAGACCCTTATCCTAACCTTAACCATCACAACTACATGCCAAACCTTAACCTTATTCTAACCTGAACCCTAAAAGCGAGTAGTCCCCAACAGTAAAGTGGGCCAGCTTTTGAACCCACAAACGGTCGTCCCCACAAGACACACACCACACACACACACACACACAACACACACACACACACACACACACACATAGAACTAGACATTTGCAACCTCATTAACGGTGAGCTGTTCAAGATAGAAAGGGCGCATTACATTTAAAGTGTCATGGGACATTTTGTTTGTTTGCCATCTTAGAAATATGTAGATATATGCACACACCTACACACACACAAACACACACACACCTACACACAAACACACACACACCTACACACACACACACACAGATTCAAAGGTCCTGCTGTGTGTAAATTAATTTAAATATCTCTTGTAAACACGTGGGATTGTGAGGCTGAGTGACTGGTTGCCTCTCTTTTCTGCTACTTACTACTGCTGTTGTTACTGTCGTTTCTTCAGAATAAGACCGCGTTTCCCATAAACCTCGTTGGTTCGTTTTAGATATTATTCTTGTGGTTCAATGTAGAGGATGAACATATTGAATTTTTTGTTCCACTGGCTTTTTATTCAAATCACAATCAAATCCTCAGCACTGTTCCCTCATCATGTTTTGCGTCGTAAAGCAATCCAACAGTTTTCTGTCCAGACTTGACTCAGTGGCTTTTAATGTGAAATGCAAAGTGAAAGGCCGACATCTACTCTCAGGAGGGCTTTTTCATTACACCAAGCAGAATTAAGATGGGAAAACCAAGGAATGCATGACAGTCAGGAATAATTTATGTTATTGTTGCAGCAGAATATAATTTAGTAATGTTTTCCATTTATGTTTAGCTGAATGCTTTGATGTTTATGTGTGTTTAAAAGCAGATTGGATTTAAAGAATAAATAACACAACAATTGCAGCATCAACATTTGTTATATTTGAGGGACTAAACAGCAATTTTTTTGCATTTTCTCTCCATTTTCCAAAAGGAAACATAATACACAATTAAAAATCTGGGTATTTTTCAGTGAAAATCTTTAACAAAACAATGAGCGTCATAGGTAGATAGATTTTATTGTCACAATACAACAAGTTGTAGTGTGAAATTGAGTTTTGTAACTCCTTTCTGCTACATAGCCTGCACTTATCACAGCCATTGTAGCACAAAGCCTGACTAACATTTCTTATGTATTTGCTCAACAAGTATTCAGGAAATAAGTCATGAACCACGACGCAAATGTGATCCCAAAAGTCACCACGACAGATGAAAAGGATCAGGGATAAAATGCTCGAGGTCATGATTTGCTTATGATACATGTGACTTCCAGGGGGAGTTTCCAAACACACCGGCCCGCAGTTCATCCTTCAGGGCCAACAGCAAGGGCCCTGCCACACCAAAACGGTACGCCACACACACACACACACACACACACACACACACACACACACACACCTCACCTGGATTATAGTCCAGGGGAACTGACGTGGTCGTGCTGGTTTTCAGGGTGAGGTCTAACAGGAGTCGCGCCCAGTCGCCCTGTTCACCTGGCCAGTACCCGCCCTCCCCGCTCCGGCAGAGGGCCGCCACCACCCCCGGCACTGACGACAGGGGTCACAATGAGGTCAAAGGTCACAGCACCATGGAGAAGAAATTAAACAAATCTGAGAACTCGGAGAAAAAGATCCCGAAATCCACCAGCAAAGAGCTGAACGCAGGTAAAAGCACAGTGTGTGCGATGTTGCCTGTTTTTTAGTGTTGTTTTAGGTCGTTGTGTAATGAGCCCCAGTGGTTGTATTAATGCATTTTGGGATGTGAAATTAACTGTTGTGCCGTCAGTAGAGAGAAGTGTGAAGAGTTTTAAAAAAGGAGACTCATTATTGAGAAATAGAATTACCAACTGTAAAAAACTCTAAGGAAGTCGTTTTTGTTGCACATGAATTCAGCTTTCTGGAAGACACAGAACCTTTAATAGCAAGAAACAGTAAACACATGGCTTACTGCATGTAAACAAATTTAACGCTTTGAAATAAATAAATAAATGTTTCCATAGCAAAAGGGACATTTTGAGGACAGAATCAGAGAAGGAAAGAAAAGCTCTGTGCCAGAGAGATTTTACTTGAACAATAGAGTTTTAATATACTCCTTTGTCTTTGGGGAGGGGGGCTTAAGAATGAGAGAATATTTGTTGTCTATGTTCATACTAAATAAAAAAACCTCTGTCCACACTAAACTGTTCCTCTCACCTGGTAACAGAAAGGTGGATGAAAACAAGGGACTGTTTTTTTGTGTGGACAGAGTTTTACGAAAACACTTCTGTATTACCGACAAACCTATTTTACACTCGTCATCTGTCGCACTGCACCTCCTCCCCGCTCCATCATCTTTGTCTCTCTGCGCACACACAGAGTCTCCGGGCACGCCCACAGGTAGGAGCGTTGGTGGGACGACTGACGCCGAGGAGGCGTCCAGACTGCTGGCAGAGAGACGACGTCTGGCCCGAATTCAGAAGGAGCAGGAGGAGAAACAACGGCAGGAAGAGGAGAGGTGTGTGTGCGCTGGTTTCACAGTTAATTTGTTCTGCATCTGATTTGATAATTGATTTTAAGTAATTTTCAAGAACATTTCAATCCAGCTTCCTGATTCTGAGGATTTGATGCTTAGTTCACTCAATATCATGGGATTTTGGACACTGTGATTTATTTTCACAATAATCTCGTATTTCATAGAACAAACAATTGGTCAGTTAATTGAGAACACAATTGGCAGATTAATCGATAATGAAAATGTTTGTTGCAATCCATATTTAGATGCGTGTTTTGAGCGTCAAACACTAAATTTCCTGCATTCTGGTGAATTATTTAACAAATATATGGTAGAAATGTCTTTTTTTATGTGATCATAAACATGTTCTAAATATATTGTTTCCCTGTGTTCCTCACAACATCTACGCCTATGGTAGCACATGATAACAATAATACAAAGTCCAACTGGAACTTTCTTTAATTAATTCTGGGATACATTATAGTGTTAACACAACAGATCTGTCATCTATCTACAGTTTTTAAACTTATGATATCCATGATGGACGATGACCAACATACTCTCCCATTATTTAACAATCCGTTATGTCCCAAATGTTATCTGTTGCTCACTGCATCTTCAGTCCAGTTCTAACAGGCTAATAGACATCATTATGACATTATGACCTGCCGAGGGACTGCAGATGTGACTTAGCTTGAAGCTTTAATCTGGTACAGTGCATCAAATGGAAACGTTCATGTTTTACTGCACGCTGTCCCTTTTAAAGAAAGAAATAAAATTAAATAAAACACTCCAACTCCTTTCTAAAAGCTGTTTTATGGTGGCCTGTGCAGCTAAAACGTTGTGTTTTCCCTCAGACTGAGGGCTGAGGAGGAGCAGAGGAGGCAGCAAGAGGCGAAAGAGAGACAAGAGAGAGCTGCACTGCAGGCCGAGGAGGAGAAAGTGAGGTGGGAGGAGGAGAGGAGGAACAGGGAGGACGAGGAGAGACGGCAGAAGGAGCAGAGATGGAAGGACATGCAGGACCAGCTGGACAGAGAGGTAATAATAATAATTTTCCATGTGAGCTAGCTTGTGTTTGCAGCTATCTGAATGTGATGAGGTGGTTTTAATATCAAGTTTGGTCTGAGGACAGATGCAGTGCTGTCTTTGATTTAAGGTGGAATGTGTATCATTTTAACATCAATAGAGTGTTTCCACATTGACGCTGAAAAACTACAAACTACAACTCTACTTTAACAGAAACTATGAAATATAGAAAGAGAATTTGAATGACTGGATGTTACTGGGTGTTTTTTAGAGGGAGGAGGCCTTCCTGCGAGCCCAGAGAGAGGCCGAGAGGAAGAGACAGGAACGAGAGCTGCTGCACATCCAGGAGGAGCAGGAGAGACTGCAGAGGAAGAAGGTATCAGAGAGCTACACGTGAAATATAGATGTCACGTTAAAACACCTCTCTCAAAAGGCATTATTGAATATGAAGATGAAAAGGACAATCATAAAACACTTATACAATTCAAAATAAAGTACAAACCATATTAAAAACAGTGTTTTTGACCAGTGGTGACTTTGTTTTCACAGAGAATTGAGGAGATTATGAAAAGAACTAGGAAGAGTGAAGTGGAGCCTCTGTCTGGTGCTGCAGGTGAACGTTGAATACACCTTTCTCCTTTAACACCCCCCTCCCGGACAACAATTAGACTTTTGTTGTTTCACTTAGATGTGCTGGAATCTTTGATCTTGTTTTTCCAGCGTAATTGTTTTTATATAAAAAGAGATCAGTCTCAGCTGCAGTGTGACTCAGCAGTGTTAGGCAGCAGGGAAACAGGGCCCCCTGGTGGTTAAAAGGCAGTACGGTAGACTAAGTGTGCTGCAGCATTTGATGAACTCACTCACCCAAAGTGGCTTACGTTACTAAAATTTAATCAGAAATAACACTAATTCTTTAAATTACAAACAGAGTTACAAATACATCATTGTAAATGTTTTGCACAAACTGTAATTTAAATAATATTTTACGTTTCTTTTATGTTTTTAAATATCTTTTGCATCTTATAGTCAATTGTTTATTGTTATGCATAAACATACTACAAATTTCTTAAACTTACTTTAATAAAGCTAATTCTGATTAAATAGAAAGAAATTTTTCATAGAACTGAACTGAACTGAAACACCACAGTTACTGCACATAATCTGAGAATATAGTTCAGATTATAGTCCTCATGACAGGCTGTATGTTTCCACACAATTATTTATAAAATGATAAAATAATTTTAAGATCCTATTTCATAAGAGCTCAACGTGTCAGACTTAAAGTATCCATTTTTAATGAAAGTATAACATAAAGCAAGTCAACCTACAGTAGGTCAGGTCCAGTACTGAATATTATCACAGATGAGCTCTGTGATAATATTCAACAATGGATTTCCCAGAAAAATAACTTTTTAATGACACTGCGTGTTTGCAGTGTCTGACATGCGGGCAGAGGCTGCAGTCCCCTTGGAGGAGGACGCCCCAACTCCGGCTGAAGCCCCCGTCATCACTCTTGGACCCCTGGAGAATAAGAGCTGTGTGGACGAGCTCTCTGACGGAGTCCAGTCCATGGACGTCAGGTAAGACTTCTCTAAGATGTTTTCAGCTGCCTCTGGCTTTCTTGCAGAACTTGCAGAACTTCATGCTCAAGTTTTAAATCTAGAATCAGTTTAAGCATTGACTCTGCTGTCGGATGTTTTTAGTAGTAAAACAAAAAGAATCTCAGCTGTTTTGTTGGTTTTTCTTATACTTCTTGCACATTTTACACATTTCAGTTCGCGTGTTTGCCAAGTTTTGTCTGCACTGAGGCGACTCCACACATACCAATCAGCCTTTTTGGCCTCTGTGTTCCAGTCTTGCATCTCATTGTCTCATTGCTGCTCATCCAAACAGCGTTTGCTGACACAAGCATGGAGACTGTGTTCATTCAGATCTCATTGTGTTGCATCTCCTTTCATAACTAAACCAAAATATCTGCATTATTATTGTTGTGTATTGATTTAATCCTGAAGCTGTACTTTGGAATGTGAAAAATCAATTAAATATTCTGTCTCTGTCATCATTGTGTCTTTAAGTTCTCCATCTGTCTCCATCAGTCCAGTGTCTAGGGAGGAGCAGGCGAGCGCTCAGGAGTTTTCACCGGTCACAGAAGGGACAGACGGCTGTCCCTTGGAGCACCTGATGGACCTCGACAGCCACGGGCGAGGACAGCGTCAGGGTGCAGAAACGCCCCCCTACCCCAAGCTGCAGGCCGGCAGCGGGGTCGGAGACCTTAACAAGAACCTGCTGATTCAGGCGTACAGCGCGGCCTCTGAATCCTCCCAGCTCATCCACAGCGTCGGCCCGAGCAAACTGGACGTCAAGTAGCCAGGTAGAGACACTCCACCTCACGTACCCATCAAAATCAGTTTACTCGTTCAGGCAGAATATTGTGGATAAAGTGAAAATACACTGGTGCACTGGAGAGGAAACAGCAAGACAATCCCCCAAAAGGGAATGGTTTAGCAGGTGGTGTCCACAGACAGTTGCTCTCTCTCCAGGGTGGCACATCCATAGGTTTGCTGTGTCTCTCAGCACAGTCTCAAGAGCATGGAGGAGACACCAGGAGACAGGTCGTTACACAAGGAGAGCTAGACAGGGCTGTAGAAGGGCATCAACCGGAGAGGCATATCTTTGGAGGGCTGCACAGACCTCCACGTGCTAACCAACGGTACCCAGACTGCTGTTAGCTACCAGAATGAAATCCTCAGAGCCATTGTCAGACCTTATGCTGGGGCTGTGGGCCCTGGGTTTCTCCTCGTAGGCAGTTCCTGGATGACGAAGGCATTGATGCCATTGACTGGCCCTCACCTTCCCCAGACCTGAATCCAATAGAGAACTTCTGGGACATTATGTATCGGTGCAGCCGATGCCTGCCAAGTTGCGCCGCAGACTGTCCAGGAGCTCACTGATTCCCTGATCCAGGTCTAGGAGGAGATCCCGAAAGACACCATCCACTGTCTCATCAGGAGCATGCCAAGAAGTTGTCGGGAGTGCATAAGGGCGCATAGGGGCCGAACACACGACTGAGTCACAAATATGAGTTGGATGAAAGTCATGTTGATTCAGTGTTTTACTTTGATTTTCGGTGTGATTTTGAATCCAGCTCTCAGTCCGTTGGTGATTTTGGTTTCCATTGACCGTTGTTGCGTCACATTGTTCTCAACGAATTATACAAAATACAGTAAAGATTTTGAACTTTAAACTATTTAGTTTATCAGGATCTGATGTGTGATTAAGTGTTCCCTTAATTTATTTGATATCTGATGGCATGTGACGGCCATGAACAATTTTTTGACAATTTTTACTTAATTATCTTGTTGAGCTTTTGCACAGCCACAGTCACTCTGCTGTACAGGACATAGATACACTTATGTCATAAAAGTAACAGTTTTTCGTGTTGTCTATCTCTCTTTTAGGAACTTTTGCAGGAGCTGGCAGGTTCGGTAGGAACAGGAGCCCGGAGAAACAGACCAAGAGACCATGACCTCCGTCTGCAACAACACCAATCATAATTTCCACGAGGAACAAATACTGAACAACTCATCTCACATCTGTATTACCAAAACACACAAACTCGTAACAGTAAAGCTTCTGGCCACACTTTGAGGCAGTGCAGATGGGCAATTTTGACTCTAAGAAACACGACTCGCAAATAATCTGAAGTGGATTTATGACATGGTTATGTGACAGAAGGAAGTGGGATCAGCATTCTTGCATGTTTGAAATATAAAAAAGATTCGGAAAGTAAAACGACTGTAAACTCATGGTTTGGTTTATTTATCTGAAACTAAGGCTTGCTGAAAACTTTGTTCACGTTATAAAACTTACTGTATAGGCACGAGTTGCAGGTGGAACTAGTTCAGGGTCAATGTCAACCCAAATCCGCACACACCGACCGGCCTTTTCATTTACACATTACATATTTTTAGCATTCAAGACATCTCCAAAAATTCCCAGACATATACTGCATCTTTTTATGTCCCTTTTTTTCTTAACAAATCTCTGAAATCCGTACATCTTCTCTACACCTGTTCCTGTTAAAGCCAGTGTTGCCCAGCTGCGCTGCCACAAAATATCACTCGAGTATCACCCGCTTTAATCTCTCATCCCTGCTTTTGTAAAACTCTGTAAATAGATCTGACTGGGTGGAGGAGTCTGTCATCGTAGGGGTCAGGGAGCGGCTCTGTAGCAGTTCACCTGCCGTAAAACAGACACTGTTGTGAATCCTGTGTAGCATCTTCAGTGAGGAATAGCTAGTTGAGCTGTGTATGGTTGTAGCTGTGTACTTTAACAGTGTGTGAGAGTTTCTCTCTTTCTGTCAGTGTTTCTGATGGTTCCCGTCTGTTTATCTCACCTCTGACCTGCTCTACTGCTGACAGCGACTCCTACTTCTATAAATCCTAGTCTGCTGTAGATTCCCCTGACGCTGGAGAAAACCATCAACAACTGATACTATAACTCTGCTGTTGACCCATAACACACAGCGTCTAGCTTTGGTTTTTCTGCTGCTCGTCACTTGATTGGTGGACGTTTTGTGGAGGCGCAACAATCCGCAGCGAGGCCATGAAGAAAACCTGGGGAGGAAATAAATATGTCAAATGTCCTGTATTTTTATCTGCAAGTCAGGAAAATATTGACACAGTGTGTGTATTGTATTTGTCTGGCACTGACTGTAACCACGCTAGCTGCAGTTTATAATGTGCACTCACAGTAGTTGTGTGTTTCACTGCTCTGAAGACGCTTGTATCTCCACCTCCACTCATCCCCCCAACTAAAATATACCTCACCAATTCAGAACAGACTCTGGTGTTAAACAGCGCTCACCACCTCACAGCTCATCACCTCTGAGGCCTTAAACCTCTGTGCAGTCAACATCTTCCCCTTAAAACAACCGGTCCTCTGTGCTTTGCCCTCAGGCTGTGTTTCATCCAGCATGCGCACTTTAACTGTTCAAAGGCCCTTTTTCCTCTAAAGAAATCCTGGAAGTAGAGAAACAAGGACTACATATTTCTTGAGCTGCACCAGATTAGACCGATCAGACAGAAGTGATGGAAAAATGGCAATTATGTAAATGCAAGATTGGTTTGTCAGCAGGGCAAAGTATACAACTAACCCAGTGGCCAGTGTATTTATTTCATTATATTAATTTATAGATTTGATCTCCGTCATCATGTCTGGTGCCAGGTATGTCATTCGGGTTAAGAATACCAAATTCCTTAAATTTTTTGACCAGCCATCAACCAAACTCTGTAGAAATTTAAGTAAAATCACATTATATTCTATCTATTGAAATATTCTTCAGTACAGTATCTCCTTTAATTGTGTTGTGGTGGAGAAGACACAATGTTTTTTCAGTGTCATTTGTGTTTTTTGCCTAAAAATTGTCACATGTGCAACAAAACCCAAATATTTCAGATTATACAAGGAACATCACAGTCTGTTATATCATTTCAACCATTCAGTTATATCTTTTCTCAGTTTTATCTCCCTACATTATGTTCTGGTGCCAAGTATGTCATTCAGGTAAAAAATTTAAATTCACTTTATGTCAATTCTTCTGAAACTGTCTAAAAATATCTGAATCAGCCTTAAGAAATACAGCGTGTATTATGTTTGTAATCGTAGAATGTAACTCGTCTTTATGCCATTTATCAACCTTCCAAATGTCCAGATATAATACTGAGGACCTGACCTCAGCGTCCTCAACACCTCCTTTATTTACGTGTATATTGAGCTCAGTTGATGCATATTCCTATATGAATCTGTTTAACTTGTGTACGACAGCAAATTTAGATTCAGGTGCAAAGAGAAAAACCTTCTTACTGGGGAAAAGCGCCTCTACTGCTCCTCCAAGGTGCCACTGTTAGGAGGAAAAGTGTTTAACCGTTGCTGCTGCAATCTTCAGCGCTTTCTTTTATGTTTTCACTGTCCTGTCGGCTTCCCTCTCTTGTCAGCTCATTATTCCTCCAGATTCTGCTGAAACTCAATGTAAGAGGATCTCCTGGGCGCCCTTGTATATGAAGTAAAATGAAGGACATCATGTTTATCCCAATATTACTTAACTCTGTGACACTGCAGCTTGGTGGAATATATTATTGTAGATGTGGCGCATGGATAACTGCTGAAAAAGAACAATAAACTTCATCAAGCCATTTGTGTCAGTGAGCTGGAAAATAAACGAATGTACGATAATGGCAGACAGTTTGGTTGTGGAAATGAAATGAAGGGAAATGTTTAACATTCAGAACTGTATAAGATGTTTAGTCTTTGACATACAAATGACAAATCTTTAGGGCTTAATGCAGCCACTTTAATTTATCATTATATCTCACTGTGTGTTGACTTTATGCTTCACTGAAATTAAACTGATCTGCAAAAGAGTGAATAATTAATTATTAAGCACAGCTGTGTTGCTTATACACACACATACAGTATATAGGTTATACAATATACTGTAAAATAGATATTCACCACTGCACAAACGTCTGCAGTTGGTCTAACCTATCGTGATTATTTGTGATTTCTTGGCTAAAAAATATTTATTTAAGCCTCCTTCATATTATTATTATTATTGTTGTAAACTCTTGATTTGTGGTTTGGAAGCTCAGCTTTCTGACATTTGCTGTGGATTTTTAAACATTTTTGATCAAACAACCGACATCTAAATCCTGATATTTCTCTCAGTATCTTCACATTTCATTATTCTGATCTATAACCTTATTTTTAGCTTAAAGTATTTTCTGTAAATCACATGACCATATAAACATATTTCTTTGACAAGTATAATGTAAATACGCTCATAATCAGAGAAAACACATTCCTGTTAAAACCTGTGAAGTATTCTGATAAACAGCAGGTTAGGTTGAGTTACTTAAAGGGATATTTGGACACATAAGTGATGATAATTTGCCACAAAGTAAGAAACATTGTATGTGCGTTTACTTTTTTCAGTTTATCCGTGTTTTAAGTGCTCCAAATGAGAGACGCTCATACATCCTGTTAAACAGCTGAGCACACACACAGATAAACTCACCTGAAGAGGGGAGGAGTAACGCTGACCAGGTGATCCAGGTGAGAACAGGAAGGGAACCTCACGCTGAAAGTGTTCAGTCAGTTCAGACTCCATTTTGAGTCAACAGAGCAGAAGGAGGAAAACTGAAGGGTGAGGCAGGGTGAGTGTTAATCCAACATTTTTATTATTTCACAAGTTGTGAGTGGCTGACACAGTAAACCTGCAGTAACCAAGAAAACAAGCACAGATTTAAAGAAAAGTGAGTAGGTGGAGTGCTGACTGGTTTTATTAAACTTGTTCTTCTTTATTCTTGAGCTCACAGTCAGTGTTACTGTTTTACCTGTCAGACTGACTGAAGGCCAGAAGATGAGTGATTGTGTGGAGGAAGAGGAGGACAGAGCAGAGTCTCCAGTATCCAGCTGTCTGTCTATGAAGAGTGACTCGTCCAAAGACTTTTCTCCAAACTTCAAGTAATGAACCTGGACCATCATACGCAAAGTAAGAGACTGTTTTTGCCGTAAACTGACCTGATGGAAGATGATGCATTGAAGATGAAGACAAAATGTTAAAAGATTTACATTCATGAAGCAGAACTACAAGTGCAAACACTGTTTCAAACTAAGACTTAGTTTATTTCTGTGACAAAATACCTGAGAACCTCCATTTCAGAATTTACACTTCAAGTAAATATTTGTATATTTTGTCCAAATGTTGAAGTCACTTTAAATATTAGCAGATATTTCAAAGCTCAAAGAATCTGCTTCAAACTTGTAATCCAATTTCTCATATTTTTCCTCAAAATATTTTTTTTCATTAGTCACTTGAGCACAGCTGGGTTTTTGGGCTATATGGTCAGAAATATAATCATAATAACAAATGTCATATCAGTGTTACTGTTTTACCTCTCAGACTGACTGAAGGCCAGAAGATGAGTGTTTGTGTGGAGGAAGAGGAGGACAGAGCAGAGTCTGCAGTATCCAGCTGTCTGTCTATGAAGAGTGACTCGTCCAAAGACTTTTCTCCAAACTTCAGTAATGAACCTGGACCATCATACGCAAAGTAAGAGACTGTTTTTGCCATAAACTGACCTGATGGAAGATGATGCATTGAGGACTGCTATTAACTCATTTGTATGACTCACTATCACTTACCTCTGCTCCATGATTTTGTGTTCATATATTAGATTTCTATGAAAATGTATGTGCTAACTAAAATTTTACAAACCTTTTTTGACAAGGAGAAATCATTAGTGCCATCTTCCTCTTAGTATCTGTGACAGCTGTCAGTCACCTAAAGAAGCTGCAATCTGATCTAAGAGGACTAATACATAACCTGGAAACATTTTTAAAATTAAGCTCTGATCTTAGTATTCATGTTTCCACACCAGTGGAAGTAGTATAAACAGATAAAAGTCCCATTGCATGTTGTCTTAGTAAGCAGGCACAAATAGAAAACAATAATTCAACCAGCATGATTGATGCAACTGTTTGTTGAGGATGTCCACAAATGTTATAAAATGAATAAAACAGAATAAAATACCACAATATCATAAAATAAGATAAAGATTATAAGATTATTCAGCTGCAATGAATATCTTTTATTTACAAATAATTACAGTACTTTAAGTACTGTAAAAAGTAACAACTTTTTTGTCCAATAACATCTTTCATTCAACTGTTGCTGCACTGAGCTGTGATTACCAACCTGCTGCTTCTGCTGCACCATAACTTTGTTATCGTTTTCTTGTTTGATGAAATTTTGACCTACACCAAGCCCCTCACTCAAGCCACGTCCCCTGAGTTACACTACGTTAGCGCCCCTACTGGTAGCAACCATAGACTGTATTTTTAGGGCCCGTGTATTGTGAGGTCCCTATTGAAACTGAAAGGATTATTAGGGCCCAAGCACTAACTGTGCGAGGTCCCTATTGAAACCCCTAAATATACCGAAAACTCACCAAAATTCAGACGCTGCGAAATATTTCATATTTTATGGGTTTCGCACATAGGCGTGACAAAATGGCTCGCTAGCGCCCCCTACAGAGCTGCCCCTGGACAAAGTTTCACCTACATGTACAAAATGTCTGTGGTATGTGTATCATGTCCAGACGCACAAGAAAATCTCTTGGAGCCATTGCCTAAACCAAAAAGGAAGTTGGCCATTTGGATTTAATGGTCATTTTTGGCTATTTAAACACTTTGTACTTTAACAAACTCCTCCTAGGGATTTAGTCAGACCGACTTCAGATTTGTGCTGTGCAGTCTGAACCCAATGACAATTAAAAGTTGTGCAAACGGTGAGTTTTCGTGGAACGGTGTGCCCGTGGATTATTGGCCATAAAACTGGAAGTTATTGTAACTTCAGTCTACATGCTCACATCTGCACCAGATTTGGACACATTATAAGAGTCCCGCCCTGAACACATCCATATGCCAATATTCACTGAAAGTCACAGCTCCACCTGCTGGCAACAGATAATGACACATTTTACACTATAATGTTCTACTCCAAGCAGGTTGGACATATGAGCTTCAAAACTGTCCCAGGAAAACCTGAACACATTAATGAGGCCATGTTGTAAATCTTGAATTTTCGGTTAACGGCTTGGCAGTGGCGTGCCGACGAAGTTCCATGCTTCGCCATGACAAAGGAAGTACTGTACATGCTCAGATCTGTACAAAATTTTACACATTTAATAAGACTCCCACCCTGAACACATGTACATGCCAACATTCACCCATGGTCATAGCGCCACCTGCTGGCAACAGGAAATTACTTTTAACGAAGCAGCCCCAGTGGTACATTTCACCTACATGTATGAAATCTCTGTGGCACATGTATCATGTCCAGACGTACCACAAGCCTCTTTGAGCGATGCCCTAAACTCAACAGGAAGTCCATTTTTGGATAATTTAAACACTCCATACTTTAAAAAACTCCTCCTAGGGATTAAGTCTAAACGACTTCAAATTTCTGCTGTGCCTTCTAAAGGCATTGACGATGAAAAGTTGTGCTATCTGTAAGTTTTCGTCAATGGACGTGTCCGTGGTGTGGCGTCAAAAATTGATGATTTGCAGTGAAACAGGAAGTTGTTATAACTTCAGTGTAAATTCTCAGATATGCACCAAACTGTACATTTAGGATGAGAGTCCCGCCCTGAACACATCCACATATGCCAACAAACACAATGTCCTAGCGCCACCTGCTGGCAACAGGAAGTGTCAAGTTTTACGCTGTTATGTACTACTCCTAACATGTTTTCCTCACCTGCTTCAAAACAGTCTCAGAAGAGCCTTAAGACATTGATGATGCTAAGTTGTGAGTCCAGTGTGTTTTCGGACAACGGCGTTTCCTTGGCGTGGTGTCAAAGTTCGATACTTAGCCATGACACAGGAATTTGTTGTAACTTCACTGTACATGCTCATATCTTTAACACATTTCACACATTTGATAAAGGTCACACTCTGAACACATCTACAGGTCAAAATTCACTCAACCTCATAGCGCCACCTACTGGAATCAGGAAGTGTTCCTTCAAAGATGCAGCCCCTGCGCACTGAATCACCAAGATGCACATAACTTTTGTGGTACATGTATCATCCCAAAACCCACAAAAAAGCCTCTTGGAAACATACCTGAAATCAGACAGGAAGTCGGCCATTTTGATTTGAATGTACAATTACAGACCATTCATGGCATTTTACAAGGTCCGTACTTTAACAAACTCCACCTAGGGAATCAATCGGATCGACTTAAATTTTCTACTGTGCATTCTATAGGCATTGACTAGGGCTGAATAATTAATAGCATTTGCGATATTATTGCAATGTGATAAAATGAGAATGTCTAATCGCCAAGGCTGCAATTACACTCTGGTCACATGACACCCAAGAGTAAAACAGCCTGCAGACGAAGCATCAACTTCGCACATTACGCTGTACCTTGACTTGTTTTTGGTTTTGTTACAATGGCCTTACTACAGAAACTTTAGTGTCACACAGGGAATGAAAGTATCACCCGCC